AGCCAAGGTACACCCCACAGTCAATAACAAACTAAATACACGAAACATTTTACTGCCTTTCTACTACAATTATTTAAAAAGTAAAAGGTAACCCTATATGAATTTATCGAGCATATAGCCTATTTATATGATATCAGTTTTATCACATGGTGATGGTATCAAATAATAATACACATCTTATCAATAATCGTCATCAAAGTTATTTTTAGAAAGTTGTGAAATTTGTTCTGCGAAGCACATTGTGTCATGGGATTTCCAAAGTTGAATTATTTATTATTTTATAATTTATGTTTTGAATGGTATATTTTATTTAATCTAATTACAGCTAAAATGATGAGCAGGGAATGGGGAACACGTAATGATGAGCAAATAATGAGGATCAATAGTGATGAGTAACGATGAGAAAGTAATGATGAACAAGTAGTGATGAGCAAGTAATGAGAAACAAATAGTAATGGGGATCAAGTAATGAGGAACAAGTACTTATGGACAGGTAATGATGAGCAGCAAGCAATGATAAGTAATGATGAGAAAGTAGTGATGAGCATGTCTTGATGAGTAAGGGTGAAAAAGTGGTAATGAGTAATGATCAGGAAGAACTGATGAGTAACTAGTGACGCGGACGAGTAAAGATGACAAAGTAGTGATGATCAAGTAGTTATGATCGGGTAGTAATACCCCCGTCAGACCCGAGTGGCGTCCTTACTGCGCTGCTACGGCGACGGAAATGGTTTCAGAGCGCGTCGGAGTCGTCATTAGCGTGGTAAAAGCGTAATGGAAACGCCAGATATCGTGCTGTGGTCTCCATGGTCGCTAATCATCGCCACGGCGTTTGTTTTGAACATGTTTAAAAAAAACGCCAAGGTTCTGAGATCTGACCTGGAAAGCTGTGAGAAGGCGACTTTTTTCAAGTTTGTAATTTTTGGGGACATTTTCTCGCGTTGTGTTCACGTTTGCTGGCGACCTTGTGAATTTTCTGGTCGCCGTACGGTCGCAGCAGCTCAGTAAGGACGCCACTCCGGTCTGAAGGGGGCATAATGAATAATGATGAGCAAGAAGTAATGTGTAACGATGGGCAAGTAGTGGTCTTGTGGACAGAAATTGGGGCATCCACATATAAACTTTCTTATTGATTTCATATATATTGTCCTCAAGTTTACTAAATTGCCATGTGTGCTTGATAACATAAGCGGATATTTGTCGAAACGTCGTGCTTTTAGAATAAACTAGTGATTGTACACCATAAAAACTGTGTTCTGTTGACCTGTGTACATTTTAGTTTGATTTCACGCTTGCTCCAGTTATTTTGTTTATTTCTATTGACAATTTAAAAACGTTTTTAATAGATACTAAAGATTTTACATGATCTGCGTTCTTTAATGAGGATGGTCAAGACTAGATTGATGATAACCATATCAAATTTTAACAGGACATTTCTTGATTAGTGACGTTTATCATTTGAGATGGACATTGATCTATACATGTTGGTCTATCTTTATGTGTGGTGATCATAATCACTCCTTGACCTTTCACAATACTGACAAAAATGAAATGAAATGGGGTTTAATGTCTTACTGTTCTGCTCCGAACTGGGCTAATGAAGACGGGCTGACGCCATACAATGTGCTATGGGGGTGATTTTGCCCAGACAGTGGCTGCCCTTATATAGAATTCCAACTGTCAAGGGATCTTTTACGTTCACGCCAATGTGTACGCGAGACCTCGGTTTTTCGTCCCAATCAAACAACTAGACAGCTGTCCTGGTCAGGCCCTCCGTCCTGCATCACTGACAAAGGGGAACCACGCCAGAAATTCTGGATGAACTTTCTCGGCCAATGCAGGGATCGAACACCCGACCTACCCGCTTAGCCACCGTGACCCGCCACAATACCGACAAAGAACGTGAGTCTAATGACTCGGATCAGTCAATGAATAAGGTGCACAATGACCATTATAGTATCACGCATGCATTTATTTGTCGTATTTATGACAGATTATGCCGTGGTTTTCTTTAGTCAAATGCAGTTTCAGATGAAGAATTTTACGACTTCGAGACCGGTGACATCTATAGTAGCCGCTTGTGGACAGTCTTAGACGTACTTTAATATAAAAGTACTCGTTAGAATGAAAGAAACGAATAAAAGGTCAGATTAGCTAGAAATTGTTATTTAATTATCGATGTCAAACATTAATTACTTTCTCTTAACTCGTTCAATCAATATTCAATCTATTTTCAGCTTGGTTCTACAAAACATCAAATAGTTCATTAAAAATCCCGCATCAGCTAATTAAACGGTCTCCCATTTCCAGACATATTCTTCAAAATCCGCCTTGTTGTTGTGGTCACCAATTTGAAGAGAGATGCCATTATACTACTTGCTTGTTGTTAGTTTGCACATACTCTTTCATCAGAGCAAAGAAAGAAGGAAAAGAAACCTCTTCTGTCCGCCGGATCTTCAGATTTTACCCATATTTTCAATAGTTCGTGATTACATAGAAATTACAAAATGATTTTAATTGATCTGTTATTACGTATTAATTTTCAGTATTATTTCAGTGATGGTATATTATCTCGTCACCAGTTTCCGTCCGTCAACTACTGGCCTGTTAACGAGGCGGGGACTACGGTTTTAATGGGGTTTTTTCAAATTACTCGTGCAGCATTGGGGTTATGGAAGACCGAACTTTATCAATTTCCGCCCCCCCCCCCCTTCCCGGCCTATACGAAACCATTGTGAATGGGATAGAGGACGAACCCAATCAATTATCAGCGCTTAGTCTACAGATGTAACGGGATGTTTTTCAAATATGAGAGCTCCATGTGTTACCTGTGTATCAATCGGCGTGTACTGGGTTAAACCTATCTAAAACTCAGATTTTAGCGTTTTGACAACTCCCCGCTACACTTTCGGTTTATTTTTGTTTTCCAGCCGATAATATAATTAACAGTTTATCTGGTCACTCAATGCAAAATTGCAGGCGACCGCTCTTAGCATTTGGGGTTTTATTTGCATACTTAAAGGTTAAATAAATTTGATTATATATTATTCATAAACTCCTTTAGTTTAATTAACTATTGGCGTTGTCGGTTGTCATAACAAAGAAATTTAAGATCAGGCATGTAAATCAGCATCTCATAATTCAAATCAACCAACAAGAACAGAAATATCATTCCTATTTATGGCACACACCAGATAAATATTTTTCCACAGAATATTCTAGAAGCATTTATGAAAGACGCAATATCGGCTTCATTAATTATGTCTACGGAATACTTTGTATTTCTTATTATATTTCACTCGGAAAACCTCCGTACCTTACATCTAACTTCGACTGTATGACAAATTCCGCCATTGGAACTACTTTCAAGAACCCGGATTAAAAATGGCGTCGCCCATGAAGACTCCTATCTCCAGAAACTATATATTGTTTGTTATGCACTTTCATGTTTATCCAAGTTTCCTTAAACAAAGGACAACTCTATACACTCTTCGAAAGACGCCATTTTGACAACTTCTTTCTAATGTAAACCGGTAGCCACTTCACAATTGTCTGGGTGCAGCTATACATATCACTTAGCGTCATACAGCCGAGGAGTGATGTAGGGTAGCGGAGCCTGCCGAGGTTTGCTGAGTGATTCTATTTATTAAATTAAATACAGAACTGATTATTGGCCATCTGGCGCACCGAGGCTTTAGAAATATATATTGTATGCACATTTTAGAACAAGGGGAAAAGAAACGAAAGGCGTGAAAAAAAAGAAACATTTATTTTAAGTCAGTCCGTGGATCTTTTTCATATGAACTTTTAAAATATTTTTCTGTTTAAATATTTTATCACAAATTGAGCAAGTTTCGGTTTGATCATTAACGTGTGTCAGACAGTGCTGTTGTAAATATCGTTTTTTCCTGAAGACCTTGTCACATATCCTGCATTCATGTTGTCGTTCTTCTTGGGTATGTATTTGTTTGTGACGTTTCAAATGATACAAATGCTTGAACCCCGCACCGCACACGGGGCAATTATAACTTGTAGTTTGATCATGAGAACTCCTATGGACAAGCATTTCTGATTTTAAAGCAAACCTTTTAGAACAAAAGTCACATGGAAATTTCAACTCTCCCCTTTCCTTTCGTTCGTGTCGCTGTAGTCCTAATTTTGTTCCATACTTTCTTCCACACATGGAACATACATATTGTTTAAGGTTTGTATGTGACGCTGTGTGCTGATTTAAATTAAATGGTGTGAAAAATCCTTTTTTGCACACTTTGCACGTGTATGGCGCGGCATTTTCATGTCTTTGTTCGTGTTGACGTAGACTACTTATAGTTTTTAATATCTGACCACAGTGCTGACAAAGACAAACTGACCCTGTAATGAAAAATGATAAAAATAAAAACAATCTCAATCTACATGTACATGTAATAAAACTGCTACTTTGACAGGTTGTTACGAAATATCTAACTGGTTCTTGTCCAACACAAGATGTCCGGTACAGTCAATTAAATTTAGATTGTACACTTAAAGAGGTGTTAGCGCTAACTTGGCCTTGGCCGGTTGCTACGAAATAATTTTCAATTAATGAATATAGAGTCTCTCCTCTCTGGGTTAATCCTTCCGCCTCCATGAGGTTGGAGTATAAATTACACCCGAAGTTACCACAACTTCGACATAAAAAAATGAAATGAAATGAAATGGAGTTTAACGTCCAACTGTTCTGCTCCTAACCTGGGCTAATGAAGACGGGCATACGCCATACAGTGTGCTATGAGGGAAATTTTGCCCGGACAGCGGCACTACAGCCTACTATTATATCGAATTCCAACTGCCAAGGGATCTTTTACGTGCACGCCAATGTGTACACGGGACCTCGGTTTTTCGTCCCATCCGAACGACTAGACAGCTTTCCTTGTCAGCCCCTCCAGGCTAGCGAGCTAGCGTCTTACCCACTTAGCCACGTGATCCCTGACATAAAAAAAAGTTAGTAATTAAGAGGTCATGCAATTTTGTTTATAAAGTTTTTGCTCACGATTGCCGTGTGGTAAAGGCAGTACACGTATTGCTATGGTGTCCTGGGTGTCCCAATACCCTTTGGAAATATTTAAGAGCTTTTCCCTCCCTTCACCACTATGAATTTGTGGCCGTGGTCATAAAGTCTTTTATTTTAATTGTTTGTTAAATGGTAGAGTCATGCACACTGCACATGTTTTGTTATAAATTTCCTGACCATCCATAGCCAAATTATAAACATGGTGACGACTAAAATGATTTATTTACATAAAATACAACTTAAAATGAACGCATACAATGCAGTCTTGGTATCCATAAAAAACTATCATCGGTATTCATGACAAAGTTCAAATCCATGATCATAAAAATTCTTATACATATTCACAACAATATACATATCCATATTCACAACAATATACATATCCATATTCACAACAATATTCACATACATATCCAGATGTCGAAGAGGAGATCATCATTATTTTTTATCTGGAAGTTTTTCAATTAGTTTCCCAAATAATACAAGGAACGATTCTTGGGTCTTTTGCATATCATTTAGAATATGCTGTTGTCTTTCTTCTGCTCGCGCGTCGGATTTCTTTAAATATTTCAAAAGATCCGATTCTTCCGAATCCTCTATTCTACGTTTATTGTCAGTCGTTGAAGTTGACGCAATTGGAGATGGCGCAATTGGAGGGGAGACAATTGAAGATGGCGCGAATGAAAGGGACTCCTGGCTCACGCATGGATCTGACCGGCTTACAATATGTTCTCTTTGTGTCTGGCAGATCGAAACGTCAGTAGCTTGGCCATCGCCTTGGCCATCGCCTACTAATTCTTCCATTTCTGCGTAAAATTGAAAACGACATGCCCTTTTACCAGTAGTGCTATTCTCCTTCGCTTTCTTGTAACCATCCACTAATGTCTGCCATTTCCGACATACCTTTTCTTTAGTAAATGTTTCACTGTACTCTTTAGTCATTTTGGCGGCAAGTTCGTTCCACAAGAGGCCCTTTTGACCACGTCCGAATTTCATCTTGTTTTCCAACGCTGTAATAGAGTTAGGTAATTCGCCATCCTCTAATAAATACGGGCGGATTAATTCTATGAAAAATAGTACTTGTGGTTTAGTGAAATGTTCATTTAAAGGAAAAACTTGTGAGCCGTGTTCATCTCTAAGTTGGGTCACAGTACATGGGCTAAGGCGTTCTGCAGACGTTCTTGGGTTTAAAGGAATCTCTGGTAAAACAACCATGGTTCTGAGATTCTTATCAATGTAAAAATTGTCGTCGTCCAGGTCTGTCTTGTACTGAACATTAACTGAAATAAAAAATAAAAGTGCTAATAATATTAGACAAAATAAAATGCTTTTTGAAAAGATCTCATTCTGAGTATAGTCTGGAATGGCGGGGCAATATTTTTGAGTACGATCGTGTGATTTTTTAAGACAAAATTTAACAACTTTATCTGACATTTGTCTTGGCCACTTTTCGTTCGACCCCTTGATTAATAGGCTAATCTAAAAGAACATCTGCAATTGCCCAATAAAATCATAAAAAGAGCACATCTTTTTTTTTTACCCATATATCATTACAGTTCAAGCACACAACATTGACGACTGATTGACGAAATAAATCACCATCATCAAATGTAATCACATTCGAATAAGATCGTACTAAAAATAACCTTAAACTCACCTAAATATCGAAAATCCCATCACTGACCTATTAAGGGGAAAGTAGTTTCCCAAGCGATCGTTAAATATAGGTACGACTAGTACATTGACAATCAAGACATCTATATCTCAGCAATATAAATGAAATGAAATGGGGTTTAACGTCCTACCTTTCTGCAACATACGAGGCATTGAAGACCAACATACCCTATACAGTGTGGTGTGACCGACATGTGCGACAGTACGGCTAGACTTTTATTTTAAATTCCAAATGTCAAGGGTTCTTTTACGTGCACGCCAATATGTACTCGGGATCTCGGTTTTCCGTCCCATTCGATCGACTAGATCCTCCGTCCTGCGCCACTAACAAGTGGAAACTGCGCCGGAAAATCCCGAGAAACTTTTTCCGCGAACACCCCAGACCTCCTAGTTAGCGAAGCAGCGCCTTATTTACTGAGCCACTGCGTCTTCCCGTCTCAGCAATAGTTTGACACAATTTTATTTCAATGAATCGCTTGCGGGAAGGAGTCATTACCAGCGGGGAACACTGGGAGGACGTGAAGTAAACCCACTACCCACCAGGTTGCGCAGGCACCATACTCCTTGTTATCACAGGATGGCAGGTAAAATATCTGATGTTGCGTGTGGAAAAACTCTACGAACAAAAGTTTTTTTTAATCGGTCATGTATAAAACTGATGTAGGCTTGCTAGCATATAGTGAAAGATAGTCATGGCACGAATGCTTTAATTTACTAAACATGTTACCAGTAAGCATGTATCTGTTACTAAATAACAAAAATGTTCTCAAATTGTTCAAACATTTTTAGACATAATTTAGGTGACACACACGGCAAATTATATCACTCCAGAAATAATTTTTGCTCTACAGATTTGCTGTCCTTCAAACAGCAAGTAGTTCTAGAATCTTGACACAAGTTTATGTCATCATGGCTAGTGGTGATATAACATTTGATTAAATATCAAGATACTTTAGAATTTAATACTTCTGATTCCACTTATTTGGCCAACATCTTTGGGTTAGCGGTCCATGTGTCAAATGGTTCCTAATTGACGAGATCCCTAACCTTACGGTTTTCGGAAGTAGCAACAGTTTGTGTAAATGAAGTACTATCAAAGCTTGCATCCTTGTGTCGTGTTTCGTAAACGTTTATTCAAATTAACCAGTCTAAAGGTAACAAATTAATTAATTTAATGTGTTTCTTTGGGGTTCCATAAGTCCGATAAAAGAAAAACACCCCAAAACAATCCCAGGGCAAATATGTGTTCGACATGATATAGGCCTACATAGAAGTTTCATTATCAGAAAATATATCAGACAGATCTATGGAAATCCAATGTGGCGGTTTGTATTAGAACCGGATTTGGCTCATTTATTTTTTAGTTGCAAAAAAGCGACCTTATTTTTGGGGTGAACCAAATAGATACATTATTGATGTGGTTTCATTCTAGAACCAAAAACGTACCAAGTCAAACCGTTACACCGGTAAATATGATATAAAAATTATCTGAACCTGTTTGTTTGGAAGATGCTGTAGTGGATTCTTTATCTGAACCTTCGAGTACGGTTGCAGTCCTGTTGGTTTCATCATTATTCGTCTCCTGCACCATGACATCACTGTAACAAAATTATTATATACGGTGTAAAATATTATGACTCCGGTCACGAATATCCAGCTACTTCCTATACGCCACAGTCCATTGATGAATGTAGGGCGGTAAATTGCTGGATGTGGTTTCCGTGCGTTGAAGTTAGCTCCATTTTAATTCTATTGTCAGTCATTCAGAATGATGCCGGGTCATCTTTTACTTGCTAATAACACGGAATATGTTTCTAGTTTTAGGAAGGAAAATAAACTCACCTTTTTACACGGACTGTCATGTCGTCTACATAAGGATTCCCCATTTTAACCTCATCTTGACAAATATAGTTCTTAGATTCCCTAATAATTATAAATAAGGTAATTGAAGTGACTCCATTATTTACCAACCCTTTGGTTAGTAAACCTTGAGCATAATCAACAGGTTCAAGGCCCACTGATGACGAATAGTCGAAACCAAGAATGGTTATTACTTCAGCTCTGCACCTCTCCCTATAAATGCTACAATTTAGGTCTACCAGTCACTGTGACTTGACAATGGTGGCTTAAATGGCAAAAACTGGTTCTTATATAAATATCTATTCTGGAATTCTGAATGCCAAATAATATAACATCACACTGTTATACTATATTACAGGCCGGATTTAATTGTACCTGGTCAGATGCAGGTGTGATTAGTGGACAATTTTTTAATTACACGTACAGACCGAGTTTTATTATTGTACCTAGTCCGACGCAGATGTGGTTAGTGACCAAACTGTCAATTCCTTCGTTACTCTGTATAGAAAATGAGATTAGGGGCTAACGAGGACTCGTCGAAATGATTCATTCATTTTACTTCTGCCCCCCCCCCCCCCCCCGCCCCCTCTGCACCTCTTATTTAACATAAACCTGTTCCTTAGAAAATAAAGACACGTTGCACAATGTTGGTAATTTTCCCATACTATCAATTAGTATGGTGTTTTGGTTGTAAATATATGTATACAAGTCCATTTCCCAACTGTGTCCATATTGTTCAAGATAACGAGAATAAAAGAATCGTTGTTGAGTAAGACGTTGCTCCTATTAAATTCTGTAAAATATACACCACAAACCTTTGTATTTTTTCAAAAAATCACAAATCGCCAGATCAATAGTGACCGTAGTTTCATAAAAAAAAATACGTTACTTTTTATCGTTCTATTCTAAACAAAATGGTAAAAACTCACCAAAATTGAATCAAAAATAGTGTTAGATCAGTATCGTCAAAAAAATTCAATCGTGTTTTCAGCCGATTCCATCTTTCAAAGACTGAAGTAGTGACAACGATAGTTGGCATCTTCCTGTATAGTTTTATTTCCTTTTTATTATTTATTTTTTAGAGAAGAGCAATCGTCTGATTTGTTTCTGGATTCCTGCAATAAGTAAAAGTAAGTAATGTATCACGATTTGCAATATCAGCAGGTCAATGGTTTGGCATAACAATAAGCTACAAAATAAATATCTGTCAGCCCACCTCTAAAACATAAATGATAAAAAACCTTTCCAGACCTTCTCACTTGACCGATCCGGTTTTATTACATGTATAATATTAATATAGTAATGTAAAAACAGTTATTAAAGTATGGACATTTCGCCTGTATTCCATCGAAATTAACAACATCAATTAGAATTCAATATTGGTCCATTTCAATCAATATTGGTTTTATCTTGCCGTAAAAAATATGGGGTACCAATATTCACGATAAATGGACATTTTATAATCAGTACACTGGTCGTGGTATCTGTGGTTTCGGGCGCCACAGAAAAACATACCCTGCAAGGCAATTAGTAATGACTTATTCACGAACAACAAAATAAAAATAAAAAACGTGTAAAATGGACCAAGCATGCGTAAACGACCGGCGTACAATTTGGATTATTTACGTACGGTAGTTATTTCACCAAATATTGATTAGAAAGAATAGAATCACAACTAGACCCTTGATCAGTACAGATTCTTTTTCTTTTTTTTTAAATTCTTTTGTGGGGTGGGGTATTTATTTATTTATTTACTATTAGAATTCTTGAGGGAGCCCACTCACTATTTTATCTTTAAAAATTTACTGGATTTTTGTATGGAATTGGATGAAAGGGAGTATTTTGTTGATCAACGTATTATTGCTGTCTACTTCTTCTAGCTTGGGGGGGGGGGGGGTTAGCTCGTGTGCGTTGTATCATAAGGTCTGTCATTGAGTCGACTGGCGTGGTTTCGATACCCCTGAAATTGAACCATATGTTAGTCCCGAAATGACTTGGTTTGTGTCGACTGGACGTTAAACTGATCTTTCTCTCTCTCTTTCTCTCTCTTTCTCTCTCTCTCTCTCCTAGAATACCCCAGCCTCTAATTACCAGAGACTGAAATCAGTATGACAAAGGGGGGGGGGCAGTGAAGTTTTTAGTGGGGGGGGGGGGGCACCCGACACAGTCTACAGTAGGTATTTCAGAGCTATGGTCGGCACATTTTTTTCCGGGGTGGGGGGGGGGGGGGGGCAAAACATTTTTTCGGGGGGGGGGGACTTGCCCCCCGCTGGCTGCGGGCCTGGTATGACAAACAGTTAATATCCATATCTCTACATAATTATTAATCAATCTTTTAACCCAACGTCTACATTTTCTAATATACTGTTAAAATATTTTAAAAATACCTAAACCCATTCTTATCTACACTAATATTCGATCAAGCGAAAGGTTAATAACACAACTTCATGTTTGATTAAAAATATTTTTAAAACATCTTGACCTATTCGTATCTACACTAATATTCGATAAAATAAAAGAGAAAAAAAATATAATATTTTCATTGGTGTGGGCTATGTATTTTTTTTTCTTTTCTTTTTTTAATTGTGAAGAATTATCACTTTTTATACTCCCCTACTTGCACAAGTTAAATAAATGGTAGAATGAAACGAGAGTCATTCCGACATGGTTAGCCTACATTATTCATTATTTGGTCAGTTTCCATCATTCTATATCTCCCGGTCGTAAATCTAACGGTAGATCACTCCATGGGTTTGTAAGACATAGTTTCGTAAAAGTTTAATGCAAAACTTTCTCACAAAGAATTGGAAAGGGAATATCTAAAATATGACAGAGAAAACTTACATGTACGCTACCAGGTCGTAATTACTAATGGCGGTCGTGATCACAGAAAGTCAAGGTCACAAACGTGATTACCGTACTTTTCCACGACTTCACGAGGTGTGTTCACAATTTAAAAAGTGCAATAAACAATATTTACAACATGACAATCGTTATTTATCGTAATCACAACATGGAAAAAATACAACACCTCTCGAGAAAGTTTATCAAGTAGTAGCAAACAAACACATTCCTCACCAAATTCGATTCCAAATCAAATAATTGCTTATAAAAAACACTCTAGGGCCTATTCTGTTGGCCTCTCCAAACTCCGGCTTTTGTTTTATTGAACGCACAATCTAATTCATTTTGTTTAAAATCACCGATACTGTACAATTATAAATATCCAGTTTCAATACCATCAATGTATGCAGAGATAAGTGATAACACAAGTAAATTTAAAGATAATTTGTACATATTACATTTGTTTGACGCGTATCAATACAAGGTTGTCGCTTTTTACACATTTTTTTTAATATGCTTGCGCAAACTAAATCGTTTTAGAAATGTAGGAAATATTTGCCTCAAATCTACTTTAAAATTAATTTAGAATCGATCGACAGCGAATAAAAATTGACGCCTCACCAATGCTACTACATAATAATAATGTGAGCTTTAAGCGGTAGCTCGGTTTAAGGCGCTAGCTCGTTGACCAAGAAATGAAATGGGGTTAACGTCCTATGTATGTTCTGCTCCGACTGAGCTAATGAAGACGGGCATACGCCTTACAGTGTGCTATCTAAAATCACTCCATGAATCGAATGGGTTTTAACATAACATATCTTTACTTACATATTTTACTTCGGTCATTTTAGACTACGGTAATTTTATTTGGATGGCTGCATGTGCAATGCGTTGGTGGGTTGGGGGCCGACAAGGTCGGTGTTGGCAATAGTAATTTTGAGAAATACCGCTTACTTCAAATTAAACAGGTTCGACTGATATAATTCTCTCAACATGTGCCTGATAATTCATCTCGCAATTTTAATTTGGGGAAATTAAGGTGCGATTTTCTTCTCCTACAGTTCTGCATCTGAAATAAAGGATTAAACTCTCGTTTCATTTAGTACTGACGAATGTCGTAAACGAGGCAGGGTATGCTTATTCTTTTGATAACATGCGATACCATTTATTTGTGGAGTTCACATGATTAATCAATATATGTTGCACTTTTGCATTTAGTTTTCTGCGGTTATCGACCTGTTTATAAATTATTTATTGTTTAGACTAATAATACTTTCTTGAACACTGAAAATCATTTATCACCAGACTCAGTACATTGTAAGGAAAGTGGACTTTCGACTAGAATATCTGTTGTTCGAATCCTAGCTGGCTTGGGCCGAGTACAGCCTTGCGGTGTATGGCGCCTGTGGGTCTGGTGGCATGGAAGAATTGGTCGTCGGGTGAGACTTAGAACCGTATTCCGGTAAAGTTGACTATCTGGTATTTTACACGTGACCAACCATAGAAAAATAACAAACTGTACGTTATAACACAAAATGACAAATATTTTATTATACAGCAAAACCTGTGACATACTGTTCAAAGTAGAGATATTGGAGAGCTTGGACTACCCAAAAGAATTGACCTCAATTATCCATGGTTAAATCAAAATTTCGCCTTGAACTTTTTCATATCTTTCTGGCCTTGTTGTGATAAGATTAGTTTCGATCAATTACATTAGCGCAAAATGAGAATATAAATCATAACACATTTCACAATGTACTTATATCTTATATATTATTTCATTAATTAAGATGCATTACGTAAATCTGTATCCACAAAACAGACTATTTAACTCTTTTATTAAAGTTACAAAAGGACTTTGTGGTTTGATTGTCCAGACACCTTTCACCATTGAAAGTATATCTGGAAAACCACGACTATAGAAAATGGCTGCGCCCATGAGAATAACAGTTTTAAGCAGAAACAGATCAGATGTTTATTGCACTGCATTGAAACAGGCTATCGTGTGTCGTCTGATATCAAATCAAAATACTATACCAAAGAAAAAGGTAATCATTTAGGGCACACCCAGTAATATGTACAGGCATTGCCTGAGAAGAGCGAATTCTAAGCTGATGTGATTGTCAATACTCAAATATAAAACCTTCATTTCATAAGTTTCTTAAGTAATACAAATATAATGGTAAACAATTTCGTTTTTCCGAATTGATTTTAATTTAGATCTAAATTATATGTTTAATTTTGTTAATTGTTTGAGAATTATTTTCATTGACGTCCAAATTATTTATCGTCTATATAGTTATAGTATGAGACACGTAATCTCGCTTGGATGAGATTTGGTAAATTGACTTGCGGTTCTGGTCAGAATTTTTTTAAACCAACAATGATTTTTAATTATTTGTTACCCGCAGAAAATAGCGGATTATTTAAATGCATTTTCCCGCCTGTCCCTATGTATTGATACTGCTAAAGAGGACATTGTGCACACATGTTTGTTGCCCTAATTATAATTTTAAAATCTTTCTTTGACTATTGAAATTACTGTTCATGAAGTCTTTTTATTAATGTTTTCAGAAAAGTTTTATTGACTCTTTGAGGATTTATGTTCGGGGAGGTGGTGGAGGACAGGGGTTCCCCCGATATGGTGGGATAGGTGGTAAAGGAGGCGATGTGATTGTGACTGCTACTAAGAAATTAACATTGTCAGATGTGCGTAATAATAACATTAAGAAAAGATTTTTAGCACAAAATGGATTTAATAGCAGGTAAGCCTTACTCCATGAGTTTATTTCTAAATTACAACAAGTGCAAAACACAGAAGCTAGAATTATAAGTGCCCCTCAAAGTTCCTCACCAGGGAGGGTGTAGTATATACGGTGTTGGGTCTGTGCTATCAGTGGTTAAATAGTTCAAAATTTAACATCCTATTGTTCTGCACCGACTGGGCTAATGAAGACGTGCATATGCCATAGAACGTGCTATAAAGGACATTTTTCCCTGAACAGCAGCCCTACGGCCTACGTGTACAAGGTGACCTTGGTATTCTGTCCTATCCAAATGACAATACATGTACATCCCCCCACCATCCTGCACCACTGACACAGGGGAACAACACTAGAAAATCACTGTGTGAACTTTCTCAGTCACCCCCAGCGGAACCTCTAGATTAGTGAGCCAACATCTTACTCTATTACGTGATACAGGTCCAGAAGTGAATTACTTATATCCCAGCATAATCACTTAAATATCAAGAGAATTATTCACTTTAGCTGTGTGGAGGGATCATCTGATAGCCGCATATCACTACCCTGTTCCTAAAGGTTGTGTTATAATTTTTGTGTTCAAAGATGAATAAGCACACCCTTTCTCATGCTGAACAACCCCCATTACAACTATTACACAAGTCCAAAACTGGCTAGAGTTTATGGGGGCATTATAATTTTGTGTATGAAAGGATAGGATATCCACCCAGAATTTATTCCCTATTAAAATATGTTTTCAAATCTTGCTATAGAAAGTTTCGTCTACTTGGAGAACTAGGAGAAGATTTAAACATACCTGTTCCTGTGGGTGTTGTTCTTCGAACAGATGAAGGGAGACAATTAGGTAGGTTATTTTACATTCTCTTTAATATCAGAGAAACAGTACATCACATACTTTATTGTGTGAATGTGTGGTTGTATTGTAATGGTTTTTATATATTGTACAAACGAACCGCTATTGGTGCATGTACCCAAGTACAAATGTTAAAGTGAAGGTACCAAGGCAACCGAGGTGCTGGGTCATACCCAAAATCAGATTGCACTAACCAGTGAAGACCTGAAAGCTCTAAAGCTTGTTTAAGTCAATATTTAATGAACAATGATAGTTTTTATATTATTAATACAGGTAATTTAAACACAGACGGTCAACAAATTATTGTAGCACGAGGAGGCAAGGGAGGTAACCCTGAAAATGGTTTCCTAGGTCAAAGGGGAGACTCAAAAGAAATAACCTTGGACCTGAAGTTAATTGCTGATATTGGTCTAGTTGGGTAATTGTTTTTATACATTATACAGGGTTATAACTTTAATCCTTGGCTGAGTGTCTAATGGCAAGGGTGGGGATGGGTTGTGTGGTATAGATCATAAAGTCTGTCATTGAGTAAAGTGGCGTGCTTTCGATCCCACACTAGAAGGTGACAGGGATAAGGGTCGCCTGCCTAACTTTGTGGATTTTCTGTGGTCCCTCCCGCTGCTACAAACTCTTGCGCAAGCGAATTGGTGTAATAAAATTGTACTATGTGGAGGTTTTGAGATATTGTTCAAAATTTGTGGACCTTGTTCAGTTGGTAATTAGGATATGTACACTGTATATTCATTTTTTTCAATAATATTTATATTAATAGAGTTATTGCCCATTTTACTACATCACAACATACAAAGCTGTCATGTTTTTATTTTTCTTCAGATTTCCAAATGCAGGAAAATCAACCTTTCTAAGTGCAATTTCTCGAGCCATGCCAAAGATAGCAGAATATCCATGTAAGATATCTACACACTACAGTTCTTGTCAATTTGTTTTCAAAATTGCAAAGAATGTTCATTTGGTGATAAGGAAATTGCTATTTGATAGCATATTTCATATATATCTTCCCATCAATGGCCAAATTTAAAATCATATTTCAACTTTTAGAGCTTGTAGAAGGGCAAAGTTATCGTTTGGAATTTTAAAAAGTAACTTCAAGCCCTATTGAAATTCAAATATTATATTCAAATAAGTTGCAGAGTTATTCAGCCATTTAGCTTCAACTTTCAGGGTTATGAAATCTTGTGAACCAGATATATAACAGAGCTCTAGAAAGAATATTTTAAAACAATGCTGATTTTACTCCTGTATTCAAAGTCATTATCTTAATGCTATTCAAATGATAGATTTTAGAATTGTTTTTGGATTTTTCAGATTTCTAGAATGTATGAATTATTCAAATCATTGTAATATTATTTGTGTTTGTTTATTTTTGAATATTAGTTGATTGTATTGAATTAATAATTAAAATTTCCTATAAGAGGCCAACACAGATAAAATTTTGTGATTTTTATTTAGTTTAATTGACATTGAATGAGTACCAATAAATCTGTTTGAATATTCCAATATTGGTTTGAGCTCTGATTATTTTATTTTCTATTGCCTTTATATATAGTTACAACAATTCGACCACAAATTGGAATAATACAGTATCCAGATTTTAGGAAGGTATGAAACATAATTATGTAGTAATAATAATTAGACAAACACTAATTTTAATTTAAAAAAAATGAATGACATATTGTAACCAGTAGATTAACAGAACACAATTTTTATGGGAAGCAATCCCTGGTTTTATTCTAGAAGCATGACATTACGACAAGTATCCTCTTATCCCAATCTCTAAATGCCACTTAAAGATTATAACCAGTAGATGTTTCTGTTAATTATTAAAGATACATTATGTAAGATTTAGATATAGAACTAGCCATTATTGCTATAATAGTTCGAAAGTAGATGATGTAAAATGAATAATTTGAAAATTTCATTCAAATTACTCTATTGCAAGCGAAGATATTAGCCTTTGAAGGTTTGACAGACGTGTGCAATAATTTCAACCACCGTACCGGTTGATCGAAGCTAAGTCTCGGTTCTCCATATTTGATTAAATCAAAGTATTGCTGAACCATTCTAATCTTTTTAATATCGGAGAAATCTGATGCCATCGAGAGTTGATTAAGGCCTGGATCAGTTAATTAATGTCTAATTAATAGTTTATATAACATTTCAGGCCTAAAGAAAGACCTGCAATAGGCAGATTTACCTCTTGCATAATGCATGTTTAATCATTGTTTGTCTATATTTTTGTCTCACCGGTTCATCCTTTCAAAATTTCTTGTGCTGTTTTTAAAATGTTTTATTTTATTGTTTTATTTTTTTTTTTAAACAGATCTCTGTGGCTGATTTACCTGGGTTAATAGAAGGAGCTCATAAGAATTATGGAATGGGACATAAATTTTTAAAACATGTAGAAAGAACGAAGATGTTGATTATAATTGTGGATATAAATGGTTTTAGTCTAGGTGTTAATCATGTTCATAGATCTGCATTTGAAAACATACTTTTACTCAATAAGGTACATATAGCTAAATTTACATATACAGAGATACATATAGCTAATTTTACATATACAGAAATGCATTGAAAATGCACCACTGACTTGAATTTAAGTGCATGTAATTCAGGCGAAATGTGTGACTTTTAGCACGATTGTGACAAGGAGTAGGGTCGCGCATGTGGATTTTCACCGGTTTCCTCCCCCTGCTAAAGACCCCTACGCGCAAGTGAATTATTGAAATATAATTGAATCATGTGTTAGTCCCAAAATGACCTAGTTTGTGTCGAGTGGACGTTAAACCCCAGTGGTTTTCTGGTCTTCATGCTCTCTTGAATGAACACAATGGCGGGTTCTTGTTGTTCAGGTGTCAACCTTGACATATTGTTGCATCTTCCATAAACTGTAGGAGTTCTGGGCCTACTGACCCTAGCTTTTTAAAAGCCACGTCTTTCTCATGTGTTATCGTCGTGATCTTATCTTGTTACATTCTGAATTGAAAGATACACAGTCACCACTAAATTAAGTGACTGCTCATAGATATACCATATACATGTATATTATATACAGAATGACCTCCCCATATGTCAGTGACCTTCATCTTACCTTGGTTGCCATTACATATCAAGATATACTGATCAATAATTGTGAAGCAGTTTTTGACTGTTCACCATATATATAAAAGACGTTTGCCGAGTGAAATAGTCCCTTAGAATCTTTATTTGATAATTAAGACTGCAATATTGTGTAATGGTGGAGGTAAAGGTGGCAGGTACTGTTATTATGACTGATCTTTGACAATCTTATCAGTACTAAGAAATTGTCAAAGAAAAATAGCGACTTTTAACTTTTTGAAACGACCATCCAGTTTATTAATAATTAAACATCACCCTGCTAAGAATAAAATGTTCAAGAATTTTTTTTTATACATAGAGATAACTGCGTCTGTAGTTTATTATATATTTACAGGAACTAGAGTTATATCTACCAGAGTTAGTTAATCGACCATCTATACTTGTTTTAAATAAAATAGATACAGATAACCAATCAGGTGATACCGTCAAACAGATATTAGAACAAGTTCAAAATTCTCCAGGTTTGTGTGATATTATTACTTCTGATAAGAACACAGATCCAATTCTGTTCTGGTTTTTTAGATTGTTTTAATAGAAAGATGTAGAAGGATTCTCTGGGTTCAAATGATAATAAGTTGCTAAATATAGATCAAATGTAGTAAGAAATTTGACGCCAACTACCTTTGGGTGTCATTTTGTAACTCAAAAGATATAGTGCATAGTTAATTTTCATAATAAAGACAACCAAATATTAATAATTTATCCTTTGTATACCCTTTATCTGTCTTCAGTATCCCCAGTGATATCATTCCGTTCTACTCCACTAACTCCTGGGTCCATTCACAAGGTTTTCACGCATTCAAATTATCTGCCCTTGATAGTAAGTTGATTCTGCAAACCAATCAAAAAACAGTTTACATACCAGTCTTGTTTACGTTCACCACAATAATCGTAGTTGCAATACAATGCGAGTTACTTCCCTTCACCCACTCGATTGGCCGATAAAAATAGGACAAGTATCAAGGGCGGATAATTTGACTGTGTGTCGCCCCCGTGAATGGACTCAGGGGTAAGTGGAGTAGAACGGAACGGTACCACTGGGTCGTGACAAGTTTTCACAGTCCTTTATGCAGATATTTTGACTTATTGGTTAGATGCTTGATTTTAATTGACGAATATATTTGATTTTATTTCATATTTTTTTAAATTTTATTCACCAGATTCACTTAATATGGTAGATGAGTACATGCATCCAACAACTTTAATGAAGTTTGATGGAATCTTTACAATATCAGCCAAAGAGAAGCAGGGATTGGACAAAGTTTTACACACTGTGCGACAAAAGTTAGATCATTACGCAGAACTCAAACGTCCAGAAATAGAAACAGAAGTAGAACATGTTCACCAAGAAACTCTGACAAAGAAATTAATTTAAATTTTTGTTATATAAAATATATGTGCTATAATATAGCACACATGTTTGCTGGGAAACGACATTAAAATGGATTATGAACAGGTGTATTGCATAAGACTGGGAATAGCTGTGGAAAAATTGTTTAACATGATTTTCTTCAAATATACACATTTGTATAAGGTTGTGTATCATTGGAGCGAATCATGTTGTGATTCGTTTCAAAATTAGCCATCGTTAATCTTATTTCTGGTCAAACCTGAAGTTTTAATTCCTAATTATTCAGGGTGGATGAGTCGTCTAACATGTGTATGTTAGATCATAAGGTATGTCATTGCATCAAGTGCTGTGGTTTTGAATCCAAGCTTGCATGTGACAGGGAGTAGTCGCCTGTCCAACCTTGTTGGTTTTCTACAGGTCCTCTTGTTTCCTCCCAATGCTAAAGACGCCTACGGGCAAGTGAATTAAAGGAGCTAAATCGCTAATATTTGGGCCTAGAAATTGTCTTAAATATTAGATATCAGAAGCCTACCTTTTCACGGTAAGATCACAACATCAATGTTGATTTGTATTGACAAATAATTTGTGTTTTCAACGTGTAAGACTTTGCATGATATTGAGTTAGAGACTTAGCTACTTTAATCAAATAAAATAAAACCATACATGTATGTAAGTCTCGAAATGACCTAGTTTGTATTGAGTAGACATTAATTTCCATTTTTATTTATTTTCTTTATGAATATGTTGTATGTGGTTGAATTCGAACACGAATAGAACCAAGACTCTAAATCACCATTTTTTAATGTAAATAAAGGAATCCAAATCAGAGACTACATCAATCAAACATACTTAAACTATAACACATATTTATGTCGACATTTCATACACAAAATCAACATTTTAAACAAATTATTAACTTTATGTTTCAATTTCAGCATTTTATCGGTAACATTTATATTATTAAATATAAAAATTAAAAAATAATTTAATAATTTTACTCAACCATATTCCACATTTTAGTCTGGATGACTTTAGTCAGGGACTTTTTTTTCGTCTGTATATACCGGACATTGATTGGCAAAGGTCTGACCGTGTATGTGACCAATCGGACATTAAGGTATGGTGAATCCAACTCAAAATTCCACAAAATAATTCCAAAAATATTGACTCTACTGAGGATATAAAATGGAATGAAATGGGGCTTAAGTCATACTTCTCTACTCCGACTGGGCTAATGAAGACGGACATATGCCATACAGTGTGCTAGGAGGGTAATTTTGCCCGGACAGCGGCTCTGTAACCTACTCTTATATCGAATTCCATCTGCCAAGAGGGGGGTTGGATGGCGGAATGGTTAGCACGCACGCGCTTTATCATACGGTCTGTCATTGAGTCAACTGACGGGGTTTCGATTTCCCGGTTGTACGCGACAAGGAAAGGAGTAGGGCCGCCTGTCCAACCTCATGGGTTTTCTCCGAGTCCTCCGGTTTCCTCCCACTGCTAAAGACCCCTACGCGCAAGCGAATTATTGAAATAAAAAAAATTAAACCATATGTTAGTCTCTCTCCATCTGCCAAGGAATTTTTGACATGCATCCCAATATACATGTTCTTGTCAGACCCCCCATACTGCACCACTGACAAAGGGAAACCACAACGGAAAATCCTAATGAACTTTCTCAGGCAACACCAGAATCAAACCCACGACGTCCAGGCTAGCAAGCCAGCATCTTACGCACTTAGTCACTGTGGCTCCTTACTGGGTGTTCTGCTCGGAGTGGGTTAATGTAGACGGAACAAAATAATAGTATTCTTCCCAATCATACCTATAAATCGACCGAATACATGTACTTAAACTATAACACATACTTATGGAAAAACAGCTGCTAATGTATTTTGGCAACGTTTTGAATTAGTAGCTGTTTTTCCATAAGTATGTGTCATAGTTTATTGCTATAGCCTATTCAGTAGTGCTGGGTATTGCCACTGCAGTCACGATATGATACGTATTGCAATTCAGATGCTCCAATACAATTCGTATCATGATGCATAACCAGGTCAATATTTACCAAGAAAATGGCAGGACAAATGAATAATTGATATTTCTAGCCCAGCCGATGTCGTAGAAATAAAATTGTTTTATATCACGATATTGATGTGGATCAAAATAAGGACCAAAACAATTTAAGTGTGTTTGTGGATCTATTTATAATGTGTGATGAAAAAAGAATCGTGAAATGTCGATTCAGTGTCTCATGATTCAATACGCAAATCGTGAGAAGGTGAATCATGATACATCAATTCAATGCAACAATACTTAGTCGATCCATCATCCATGGATGTTATATTTATGAATATAATATGCCGGTAAAGTAAAATCCCCCCCCCTCCTCAACCACCAACACTGCTCAGATTTTATTGAAGGGGTCTAGGACACGAAATGGTCGGAAGTAAGCTTTTTCATTTGTCAACGCTTTGGGTGGGTGTGCTGAAACTTGTGTATAACTTGACTTATGAGTATGTTCTACTCAGGTTGTAGAAAGATAATTGTACAGGATGTTTTGAGTCCTATCTATCTATTTTGTTAGGGGTTTGGGGTTGGTTAAGGTCTGTCATTGAGTCAACTGGCATGGTTTCAATTCCCCGGTTGTACGTGACAGAGGAGTAGGTTTTCTGTCCAACCTCGTGCTTTTTCTCCGGGTCCCCCGGTTTCATCCCACTCTACGCACAAGCGAATTATTGAAATAAAATTGAACCATGTGTTGGTTCTGAAATGACCTTGTTTGTGTCCATTAGACTGGACATTAAAACCCATCTATCTCTCTCTCTCTCTCTATTTTGTTATAGAGGGACTTTAGCTTCAATGTAACTGTAATATAGCTTCTTAGACTTAGAGTATTATTATGCATAGGCCTACTTATAATAATATAGTTCTTTATTCACTGTTGTGCTCAAAGGCACTGCACAAAAAAAAACCCTTGAGATCACAAAAATAACAATTAAATTTTGAAAAATGTAGTTAAAAAAACAGTAATCAAAAAGTCTTGCGAATAAAGTGACTTTTTACAAATATGAACTGTTTCAGCATTCCTGAATTCTTTAATATGAGAATACAGAGATAACATAAAATCGGGAAAGAGTGTGTTTAGCTTTTTCTCACGCCATGGCTCTAGGCAAATGCTTTCTTCGAAATGAAATAAACTAAAACTATTTTCAATAAAACAATGATTTTATCACATTGTATTTGTATTTTTACTTTACGTGGGAGGAAAACAACTTCGTTTATATTTGTTCGGCAGGACTGCACAAATATACGAACGATATGTTTTATTTATGCTACAATTAGAACGCGTCAAAGCTGATTAATTAATTAACTATTGTGCAGACCGTATGTTTTAACGTAATTACTATGATTCCGCTAGACTTCAACACGGACTCTCTCTGTTGGTTTTTGTGACTGGTAAATCAAAGCTGCAACGTTATTATTTACCGTTAGGGGGCGTGACAACATCTCTATGGATACGATAAATTGTTGTCACAGGCTGTATTAAGAACTACACTACATGGTGTACAAATAACAGTATTTGTTGAGTGTGGAGTCAATCAGACAGTGATATTAATAACGTTAGTTTTATTCTGAAGAGAAAAGGTTAGTTAATAGTTATGGCGACGTCAATGCTGAGTCCGTTTACTTACACCGCCACCGGAGATTTAGGCATTAAGCGAGAAACGATGCTCCAAAATGAACTGCTTCTGAGAACAGAATTGGGCAAACCAAAACGAAGAGGGTATGGTAGCGGAGGAGGCGATATGTATTTTGGTAGACCCAACGAAAAGGGTACATTGGGAGCTTCTGAAGCTTTGAGGGGTTGGAGCAGCATGAATCAGAATTCAACACTACCGTTTCATCGAAAAGAAAAAGCCACCGAAAGAGACTTTTTGGAACTAAACAAAACAGCTGTGAACTCTGGAATTGTTACTTCTGGAGAGAACTTTGCCTATAGATCGATTAATGATATCAGGAGAAGAACAGCAGGTACAGAAAAAAACAAGACCAAAATACGTCGTCTGCCACCAAGCATGGTCTACGGAATATCAACTAGACCGTCCACACCAATTTTCGATCTTTTAGAGCATAAATACCAAGATAAATGGCTTCAACAGAGACAACAAGAAGAACTGGCCAAGAAAAAGGAAAAAATAAAAAAGAATGCTGGGGTTGTGTATGAAACTAGAGCCTCATTATTGCGTACATACCAAAATCCAGTTGAATCTGGTCCCTTATGGCAATTACCTCGTTTTAAAAACAGCTCTAAACCACATCTCCAAACCTTCAGAACAAAAAGTCAGGAAGGTGATGCGTTCAAACAGTTTGATTCAGATAAAATTGCACGACAAGGAAACCTTGGACATGGTGTTTATGAAGCAGCGAAGAACTGAACCGAAGTAAATCTTGGTGAAAACATTGTGTTACAGGAGTCTAACTTAGACTTAGGTATTGGAATAAATAACACAAACTTGAAAGCTTATGTTTCGTAACAAAATCAAATTTTAAAACAATCTGTGAATATCCTGTTCGAATGGAAAGTTTGTGGAGTGACATTATACTATATCAGCATTATTTACATATTTAATTGTCACATTAATTATTAATCCAATCTCTTGTTATTGATTTTGTCTCTTGAAGATAATTAGCATTTTACTGTCTTCGCAATACAATCATATTGGTTTTGTAACATTGAAATTGAATACTGGTAATTACATTTGTAATTATTACCTTTACAAATCATGGAATTATAATAAAAAGCCTTTTTAATATTCAGTTAAATTTTATGTATTTAAGTGTAAAATTAAAAAAGTTAACAAATCTGGTAGGAAACGAGTGAATATACAAAAGCTGTCCCTGTTATTTTAAGGAATATTTCTTTGAAACAAATGTTGCATTATGCTAATGCAATATTTTTTGCAACATGTTTCCTTTCTCTAGGCTGTGAATAAATTTGCATAATACACTTCGTGATATGTTTAAACTGAAGTTGGTATTAGATGTTTTATTTATAATTATATATATTTATATTTATTTACAACTTGTATATATTTTGTACTACCGGTATTGACAAATAACTTACTTTCTATAGGCCTACCTATTATTATCTTCCGTGCTATATGGTTGTGTATAAACAACTATAATTAGCTATTAAAACAGTGATTTACAGGTTTTTTTTATCTTTTCGTAATTTCGATAAAAAAACCCTCAAACTAGAGCTTGAAACTAATAATAGCCATTCAATAGTCTGTGCTAATGTAGGCCGGTATCAAAAGAAAATTTGTCAAATGGAGCATAAAAAATAATAATCAATTATCTTTGATTATCTATACTATATGTTACCTTTGTCTTTAAGGATTTGTTAATAAAATCTACATTAAAAACATTTTGTATTTACTTGTTTTATTTAATACATTGTATGTGCAATGATTCAAACAAAGTTTGGTCCTGAATATGCTGGTTACAGTGTTGAATAGTTTTATCAGGATTTTTGCATAAATTACAGAAATACATGTAGCCTTATGGCTACACATGTAGCCATATGTAGCCTTATGGCTTGCATCCACAATGATCAGCAGTGAATTTTCGCTAGGCCACTACAATCACTGATAAGGATGTCGATCGATGCGAGCCAGAAATACTAACTTTTTCCTCCGACAAATTAAATTCTAAAACATTTTTATTTATGTATTAGAAAAATAAATAAAGACGTTTGATGTATTTGTAGGTAAAAATTATTTCCTATTTTTTGTAAATGGGTATTAAAATGAGTAAAAGACTCCATTCTGCCCGAATGTAAACAATGCACGCGCCATTGAGCCAATTGTTGACAGCCGTGTGATGAGACATCACGTGTTGAAGGTAGTCATCTTTTACAGAGATATTAGAAGACTTTCGTAATCCTCTGTAAAACAGATTGGCTTGTTTCATGATCTTCTAAAATTTTATCAGATCAGTGATTATATAAATAGACCACAGTCTACAAACTGGGATATAAACTGGTTCCATTCTGGGTGTTAAATTATTTTAATATCAATGATAAAGAGTACAAAAAACCTTTTTAAAGATACTTTTCCAGAAAAGTATTTATCTGGTGGTTATTTCCAAGAAAAGTATGGCAATTTTGGTATATTATATGGAAAGTAGAAATATCCAATCTTACTAGAAAAATACTGGATTCCCTTAAAAACACCCATGGAATGCATACAGAGCAAAAATGTAAAGGTTTATCTAACCGGCAGCCCGACGATTAGGAATGTCTGCTCACATCACATCAAAGTTAGCACGCGAAGATTGAACGCTTGATGTATACGTTGATAAACTTGGTGAAGAGTTAAACGTACAACACTTTCTGAGATAAAAACCACGGAAAAAGACGTGGTGGGCAGTGGATAATCCGAGAATTAAATTAGGCATTGATATTTATGATTTATGGATAGCGATTAAAACCAACATCATTTTGTGCAGTATTCTTTCGCACCCATTGCTAGGTAGTGCGTCAGCTAAGTCAGTGAGACAAACATGACTTCTTTGAATGAATTTTTTATAGTAGCTGTATTGCCTCGTGAAAACCGTGTTTTGAGGATTTGAAGCAAAAGATTGATAGATTAATTAGTTTGAATATGTTTTTAATCCAAATACATCATCAAATCACTCAGTTTGTATGCAGGAACATATCTGTAAGTGGACTCGGGGATTTCAATCATCCACGATAGAACCTTGGTGTTTCAGTTACCAAAAATATGAAATTTTACATTTTTCCGAGAAAGAACTAATTTTTAAATAGCATTCATTTAATTTAATATGTAAAACTGTCAAGTTTATTTTCCCATCTGAAACCAACCAAGAAAGACAATATGCAATAATCTGATCTTAAGGGTCAGAAGGTAAATAGACGTCCATTTGAGGAACTGCATCTGTGTAAATTCTAGGTTCGTTTAGAGTTGAAATTGAACAGGTCAATCCGGCACCTTTAAGAGTTTGATCAGACAACTGGGGCAATGTTGGGCTCCACAGCTCGAAAACTAAATGATAACGAGGTCTCCGTCTAGGAAGCAGGTTCTTAGTCCAGAATCATTATGGTTGGGCTCTTCACACCATAAACTTTAGTTAGACTATAGAGATTAGCCTCCCCTCCCCTCCAAAAAAAAAGTTACAATCCAAGATATGGCATGAAATTAACTGTTAATTCAATGATGGGGCAATAATTGGTAGCCTGAAACCTTAGTCCTTGCTTCAGTCGAACAGAGTTATCTCCTTATCAGAGATTATCCAGTCTTTTGGTGACATGCCGTCATATTATGTAATGATAACAGGGATTGGACTACGTGTAATATTGTAGCCAATCAAAGTAGAGAACGCATTCGAGACAAAGATCTTTCGTTTTGGAGTTAAAAATAGTCCTACGTGGAAAATGCCAAGTTATTAAAAATTGTAGTAATATGTAAAAAAGAAAAATCATAGAAGACCGAATGACAGTATGGCAGACGAATGCAAGAAGGAAGATAGTCACGTACTGCATGTTGTAGTTGTTGGATTTCACCATAAAAAGGGGTGTCAGGTAGGTAGCAGACGATAAAAACAATTGTTAGCACTCAGCCAGTGACGAGTGACAATCAATGTCACAATCCTAATTGCCCCAACCCATGAAAGTCAAAACACATTCGTGGTATCAAGTTGCACATATTATATCCCAAGTAATGGATAAATATTTAGTATTTTTAGTCCGTGTAACATTCTCTACAAATTACAAATGATTGTATTTGTGAAGTACTAATCTAGTAATCATACAATATATGTGTGCCCTAATTTCACTAATTATTATCCAAAATAAATAGGCTTGGTTTTTTTGGGTTTTTTTTTTATTAATTCCTGCACTTCCCATGCAAGAAGACAAAGACTTTAAAATTATGTCAAAAGCCGATGTATGTTCATTAACTTAGTTATGGACTGTATGTTTGCAAATCGTGATTTTATACAGTTTTTAACAAATATGGTATTTATTTCAAGATTAAATATTTTTGAGGTTATGCCAGGTGCTATTATTATTAGTCAATAATCATCATTAGACAGTTAGCCGTAGCATCTGGAAATTAAGTATCAACATGTAAAGTGCTGTGTGTATGAAAGTGCAATAGTGACATGCTATATACAATGTCCCAAAAATATGTACAATGTACATTCGATGTCCTGATATGTCCAAAAATATACAAACTGCTTTATTTTACAACTAGAAGCAAAATAAAAATGGTTTTATTACAAATATACTCTGTCACACCCACTGTCTGCATGACTTGGATTGGAACACTTTTCGCTTGTTCTCCCAAACTACAAATCAGACAGTCTTTATTATATAATATAAAAATTGCATTTTTTTACATACAAAGTATAATCATAGTCTATTATAATACAATAAAAGATTTAGTTCCTAACTGACTGCATCAATAAGTAAGGCATATTGGTAAATATATTTACTAGCCACACAATGGACAGGTGGTGGTAATGTGGGCCATACGATCTTGTCATGGTTCTCTGAAATTTTACTGGCTACATGTACCACTAATACTTCCTTAGAAACATTATTGCTACAGACTACTACTCTTCTCTCCCTTTCCATTAGCAATTTTCTCCCATATATTTCTACTGTGCATAAGATAAAGTAAAATTTTCTTTGATTTACAGGTGGAATATTCTTACCCTCCATTAATACCTGGTAACAAGGTTGATAGTCATGACGTACCAAAAGAATGGAAACATTTACCATCGTTAGCTTTACCAGATGGTGCACATAATTTCCTAAAAGGTAAAATCTTATTTATTGTACATCATATAGGATTTATCTATTCTGTTGTTGTTGACGGTTTTCCTTAATCTTTACTCCCTCACATATGTAGAAATCTGAAAATTTCTCAACGAGGAACTAAATAATACATGGAAGGAATTATTAGTGAGCAGAAATTCGGCCGTGTATCTGTTATCACTCGTCACATCAATCAGTTATATAGAGGTATGACTCGTGTTTTCCTTTGGCGTTCGTCACTTCTGATTCAGGAAACCTGTATTACTCAGCTATCGTAGCAATGATCTCTGTGTTAAAATTATATTTGGAATGTGTTTAACCAGCTCTATCACATATGTGATAATGACTGGCACCAATATTGTCCTTTAACACAAATGAAATCAATTTTGTTACATGCATGTCCTATAATGTGAAAAATAAGATAGAGAGAATATATTTTAGGAAGATGAAAGGCATATACACCATTACTACCATAAATTGAGTTTGATTGAATTTATTACAGATACTGTGTTTTTCCATCTGCCTGGAAGAAATGGAAGTAATAAAACAGTGTATGGGGTATCATGTTACAGGCAAATGGATGCTAAGGTCAGTTTTCTGTCACTTTACTGTTTGAAAAGAAATTATCTTGTTTGCATCAACTCAATGTAAATAATGTTGAAATAAATGAAATAAAATGTAATGGGGGTCTGATATCCTACTTTTCTTCACCTGTTGGGACAATGGAGACAGGCATACAATATGCAGTGTACCATGCAGGAAACCAAAGATCGAAATTGGAACTTGATAGTTTGTAAGCCAGAACCTTACTCACCTAGCTCCCTATAGAACACCAATCAGTATACAAAGCTAAATTATTGATCAGTGTATACATTCATAATAATATCAATCTGATTAAAATACTGATCTACATTTTGTTTCGTTTTTGTATACTTTCAATGACCTCTACTACATGAAGATCTGACCGGTTGTATGGAAGGTCGCATCAGGGATCATACAAGCAGCTTTTGAACCTATGATCTCCGACATTTGTTTACCCAATCAGCCTTGATGTAATAGAATCTGCGTTTTAATCAGATTGTAATAATATTTATTTATTTAATAGTAAGTGCAGGAGGACCGCACTACACGTAAAACAAAAATCTACAAGATAAACCTGCGGACAAGACAGAAAATAGACATTGCACCAAATAAACAAATATCAAATCAAGTGAATGTAATAACACATTTTCATAATCTTTAAAGGATTTAAAGAATAAAGACTCAGAAGTAACAAGAAGTACAATACAGAAGAGTGTTTGTGTACTCAGTCGATTGGTAGGTTTTATTTGCACTAAACATCTCATTTTATTTGTTAAAATGGTAGAAATTATTAGCATGTCTCTCTTACCATCTTTTGACGGTCATTCATATCTATATGATGAGCAGACGAGACAACTACTGCTTTCTAAGGACTTGAACCACTTGTGTAATTTCTTTGAGCACCATTTAGTAATTGCTATATGCAATAAACACAATAACTATGGAACACAATAACTAATTTAATTAAAGAAATGTTTCGTTTAGGGTCCTCTAAACATTATCAAGCAAATTATGTTAAAACGTATAGAAAAAAAATGTATCTGGCAGATTCTAAATGCAAATGAATGTAATTTAACATGTGGCTGCTCCCTACATGTAGCTTATGTAATATCGGGACCATTACAAAAAATAAACAACAATTTGCCAGCTGGAGATTTTATTAGCTTGTTACAGTTATAATAATATGAATAATTGAAGCCTAAATGTGACAGACAGCTAGTAATCATTTTCCTTTTTTTAATTTTACAAAAAAATATAATTTTAAAAGAGTTCAGTAAATAATTAAAACAAAAATAATGTTGGTTGTCATCTTCTGTTCACTCGAGGTTCGTGGAATGAAATATCGATCAAGATGTTACAAAAAGATAAGATGGGGAACATGAAATCAATGTAAAGTAACATGAACACTTCAGACAGCCATAACTTCCATTCAGATTGATCAAACTGAATAATTTTTTGTATGGGTATTATTAGACTCCTATTTTAATTTTTTTTAGTTTGGAATATTTTGGTTTTAATTGTGATTTCATGTTTCAGCCTTTATATGGTATGATTAAAGCCAAGTTAGAGTTAATAACTCATGCTTATTTTGATGAAAGAGATTTTAGTAAGGTTGAACTCTTAGAACAGACATATAACAATATGAAATTGTCTCTTTCTGAAAATATGCTAGATGGCACCCAAGTTTACCTTGGTAAGTAATGCTTTTGTGAATAATTGAAGACTATATATCTGGAGATTAATTAAATTTATGTCGTTTAAGACATATCCAAATATAAAGTTCCAATTTATTAAAAGATCTCTCAAATATAGTTTAAATCATAACCTTTATGGTTATATAACCCTGTCAAGAAAATATGGCTATCACTCAACATACTGAGCTAAAGCTTTCAGAAAAGCTATTTGAGCATCTACTACTACTACGACTACTACCTTAGTTGTTTAATGTCTGCTTCTGCAAAAGTGATACCGCAGACAATCGATATTCTAATTTGTGACCCACTCTTATCAATAGGATGTGACAAGGAGTAGGGCCGCCTGTCCAACCTCGTGGGTTTTCTCCAGGTCCTCAGGTTTCCTCCCACTGCTAAAGACCCCTACGCACAAGCAGATTATTGAAATAAAATTAAACCATATGTTAGTCCCGAAATGACCTAGTTTGTGTCGAGTGGACGTTAAACCCCATTTCTCTCTCTCTCTTTTATCAATAGGTAGCCTGTGTAATCTGTGACTGCCAACTTTAATGCTTATTCTGGCTTGTTTTTAATGTAATTTCAAAACTATAATTATTGTTATTTTTATTTCATTATAGGTTTATCACCGAGAGAACTTGTTTTACAATTTAAGCATAAAATAGTTCTATTGTTTAAGCTAATGTTACTAGAAAGAAGGGTAAGATTTATATCAAGATAATAATGGGTTTTCAAAATGCAATAGTGGGGTTATACTATATACTGGAAAACACCGGAAAACAACTGAAAAACTACCAGAAAAACACCAGAAAACTACCAGAAAACACCATGTTATACTGAATATTGGAAACTCTGAACCACCTAGAATCATTCCCATAATTTGCCACAATTTGTAGTCCAGTTGTCAAATACAGTCAAGGGATAATCTAAACACAGACTTCAAACAATATATGTCAGATGTCAATTTATCAGTAGTACTGCATAAAAATTATAATTAACGTCTTACTTTAATCAGATGGATCTGTATTTAGAAGTTAAAGAAAAAATAAACTTTGAATTTGGGATAAAATCAACAAAATATTCTTTTCATGTCACAGAAGTAACTATAAAAGAATTTGAATGAATCAAAAATGTACAGTAGGCTCAATTATCAAATATGCAATATTTGTTATTATAAATGATTCTGGATTATCATACATTCAACAATGTGAGTCATAAAATGTAGATCCTTGAAACATGATGTTTATGAGAAGTGTGTTCGATCCCTGCATTTGCGAGAAAGTTCATCCAGACTTTCCGGCGTGGTTCCCCCTTGTCAGTTATGCAGGACGGAGATTCTGACAAGGACAGCTGTCTAGTCGTTTGGATGGGACGAAAAACCGAGGTCCCGTGTACACATTGGCGTGCACATAAAAGGTCCCTTGACAGTTGGAATTCAATATAAGAGTAGGCCGTAGTGCCGCAGTCTGTGCAAAATTTCCCTCATAGTACACTATATGGTGTATGCCCGTCTTCGTTAACCCAGTTCGGAGCAGAACACTATGACGTTTAACACCATTTCATTTCATTTATTTTATGAGGAGTCATTTAGCTCAGTAGTGATCTTTTGACAAATTAAAAACTCAAGAACAAAAACCTCCCTCCCACATCAGATGTTTTGAAGGATTGTCGGAGAACCAGAATATTTGTTTTGTATGGTCTTACTCCAAAAGGTTACATTAATTTATGCATGAAAATATTATTGTCATACTGTATTGTTTATTTACAGGTATTATTTTATGGTGCCCCAGTGGAAACATTAGGTGGTTTAATACTCACAGTTTTATCATTGTTCCCAGGTAAATTTCATGTCTATTAAACACATTTGTTCCAGATGTAGATACATGTATAGCAATATCACTTTCCCAATGAGGGGGTTGGGGGATCGAATGGTTTAATGCATGCCCTTTAGATCATAAGGTCTGTCATTAAATCAAGTGGTGTGGTTGCCTGTCACCTGTCCAACCACATGGGTTTTCTCTGCTTTCCTCCCATTGTTAAAGATTCCTACGTGCAAGCAAATTATTGAAATAATAATTTAACTATGTTATTCCCACAATGAGCTAGTTCGTATTTAGTGGGCGTTAAACCCCATTTCTCTCTCTCCCTTTCACCAAGAAAATAAGTATAATTAATATTGCTGTGTTCTGCTTCTTTAAATTACATAGCCAACATCAAAGGAAGAAAAGGTAATAAGCAAATTCAAAACTACAACATAACCATTCATTGAGATACATGTAGGTGTCCCAAAAAGAATAAGTATTTTCTGCCCCATGTATGACACCTGTCATTACTTTTAGATAGAGCAGGTGTTTGTGACATGGAATAAGATGGCAACCATTGGGCAATGGTTAGCAGCATTCACCAGTCAATTTGTTAAATATTCCCAGATAAATAAATGGTATCCGGCATTTTAACAAGTGATTGCCATACAAGATACGCCCACATTTTGCAAGAGATGGACAGCGAACAACGTATAAAAACAAACCAAGTGATTTTTCGTACAATCAGGGGCCATAAGTTATGATCCGATATTTGCGAATATCAAAGGAACTGAAATCTCTGTTATATAAACATACTTTAAGTTTCATCAAAAATCAGATAAAAATTCTAGGTCCAGAACCTTGGTATTACATACTTTTACACTATTTGCATACAAGGAACAGCCATTTTGTTTGGCAGTTTTGTTCCGATTTTCACGAAATTTAAAGTGAATCATCATGGTGTAGCAGTGATATAGATAAGCGGTTTTTAAAATCAAATGACAATTGTGACCTCCAGAAGGTCAACAAGCAAAAAACATGATGTTAACCGGTCATTGTCGACTATAGTCACCACAACGTTATACACCTAAGTGGTCACGGTAGACTAAAGTCGACCACAGCAAAAACCTTTTTGATAAGCCGCATTTGAGTATTTAGTTTCCTATTTAATTGATATGGCCACACATGCGTGTCAGACAGGAACTTGTCTTCTTAATGGCATGTGTAATACTATACAAAACATGTCTTTGTTCAACATTTTTTGACGAAAAACGTAATTTAACGATGTCGGGAATGTTAAAGACGCTCTCGATGACACCGATTCTGAAGACGATATTTCTGATGAAAAGGACTTAGAATGATTTGCAAATTATAGATCAACTTATCCCCTTCAACTTTTTTATTGGTGTCAAGAGTTTATCACTCATAATTATTCAACAGTAGTCGATTGAAATAGGCATGCAAAATATTTGACGTCAGCCTTTATTTAGCCTGACCACTCGACGACATGATGTTAAATTATGTTTACAATCAGACAGAAATTGTAACCTCTAGAGTGTCTACTAGCTGAAAATATGTTTTTTCGTATAACCAGGGGCCATAATCCATGAAGTTACGGTCCGATACATGCCAATATTGAATGGAACCGAGATCTTTAGGAGATAGACCTATATTTCAAGTTGCGTCTTAATGGGATCAAAGTTGTAACCTGTAGGGTGTCCACAAACAAATTTTGGACGGACAGATAGGGCCAAAAACAATATACCTCCACATTAGGTGATCTTTTTTTTTACAAAATATTTTATTTTCTAGAAGGGGTGAGACTAATATAATGTTAAGCAAATCCAGGCTTTTTCCTTGTCCACATCAAAGCTTGAAGTTGAAGAAATAACTACATGAGAACCATCACATGTCGACCATGTGATGCTACATCAAAAGCTTCTGATATATTGTCATATAGTAATGCCTCCTTTCATGGAAGAGTTCCCTCCCCTTTGTTCTTTATTGGAGTCTTTGGGAGTTATCTCCCATATGTGGAATCTTTAGTACTTAGAGAGGTTGAATAAAACATGGCCTATCTACATGTGGTTTTTAGCTTCAATATATTTTAATCCATGACATCCATGGTGAACCAGAGAACAACCCCCACAGAGCAATATATTATCACCCAAATTGTTGCTACTTAAGCTAATTAGAATGATAGCTGAAGCTATACAAAATCTTTTTAAATTAGACCGTTAATGAAAAACTTTCATTGTTGATTAATCTTTCAGGTATGGTTGAATATGGTTTAGATGAAGCAGTTAATAAATCATCACAAAAGGTTTCTTCTTCTTCTCTCAAGATGGCAGGAAGTGATCAAGAGGAATCGGATGGTTATTTGGAAATAAGTTACACAGAGACAGGAAGTGACTCGCCCTTATATACCAATGTGCAATCTAATTTATCTGGGTCTCGATCTCATCACAGCATAGATACAGAACCAGAATCGCCAACGATTCCTCGTGATGACATATTTACCCAACATTCCCTAGAAAGCTCAGATAATTTACATCATAAAAAAAATAAAGACAATACTGATGAGTTATCTCCCTCTGTGCATAGTTACCATAGTGATAAAACAAAGGTTAAAGGTAAATCTAATAGTAGTCATAGTAGTGAACTTAAAGGTCAAGGTCATAATTCTGGCATGAGCAATCAAGCAAAAAGTGCCCCGGTTGCAATAGACAATGCTACCAAAAAAGAAAATACATCAAGCGGTTCTTTGCCGACTTCTGAAATTATTTTTGCTAAAGAAAGTAGTCCTTTACAAGATTTGTATAGTATTACACATGTAGAAGCCATACAAACTGCTAAAGATAATGAATTGCCTAGTGATCATTCTCAGGACCAGCTCGATAATTATAGTACCGATAAATCACTTCATCAAAAAAAGGAATTGAGTTTATCAATATCCCCAAATCTACCAGTACAGAAGACAATGAGTTTAGATATAGAAGATCTCGATTCACCAGAAAGCATAAGTAAAATAGATAGGGAAGATTGTTTTTCTTGGGAAGATGATCGTCTCTTATTAGCCATTAACGATGATATGGACACAAAAGCTACATCTGATGAAATGTCAGACCAACAACAAGATGTTCGAAAAGTTTCAAAGGGAAATGACTCTGAAGGTTCCGATTCACGTCCATCAAGTAGACAAAGCAGTCCAGGTGTTAGGGCTGCCATCTTGAAAAACAAACTGTCATCTGCGTTTGGCAATTTACAATCCAAATCAAAGGTCAAGAGTGAAAGTTCACCAGTAGAAATGAAGCCCTTATATGGTGGACCAGAATTACATCAAGATGAATATGGTTTCCCATTGGCTATTTTCACAAGGGTAGGTAATTGAGAAGCACACTTATAAAGTTTTTTTGAAGATCCATAAAACTAGATAGTCACCTCTTATTTAAATATCGACACAAAAAATTAAAATTTGCTACTGAATTAACTGTTACATGTTGCACTTCCAAGTGGAAAAATTCATATATTGGGTCTTTTGCAAATTTTATTCTGAAGCTCAAAAGAGTGTGTCCATCAAGATATATTTCTCTCCATCCGTCTACTTAATTTTCTACCCATAATAGTTTAATAAAAGTCAACAGGAACCAAAGTCGATATGATATGTGAATACAAATTCCTATTGAAAAGATCTTTTTTTTTTTTAATAAGGTGAAAACTGATATTCTTTTGATTGTATAAATTTCCAGGGCACTGTTTGTCATCCATATCTTAGTTTACAATACCATGACATTCTACATGACATTACTATAAGAAGCTTTGTGATTGGTGCAACAAATATACTCTTCAAACAACGGAAAAATCTATTGGATGCAATTGTTGAGGTGAGTGTAATCTGCTCTATTTGAGTATTACAGATGGTGACTGACTGTAATTTCAGAATTCATTAATAAAAAATTCTGATCATGTAAAATAACTTTTGATGAAAATTCTTATAGCAGAACTCTTGTTCGATAAACTCCACAATAAAGATCTTGTAAAATGTATTAGCACACAGAGAAAAAAGGGGTTTCCAGTCTTTTTTTTTCCGTTTGTTTTATTTTTCTTGGTTATTTAATCCACTTCATGTTGATCTAAGTAGGGATATTTCTTTATAGGGCATGTTTGGTAATTCCAAGATTGAGATTAGTTGAAATTCCTTGAATTAATTTTGTACGACTTTGGGACAAGTATGATTTTGATAATGGTTTATGGCCATTGGTTATATAAAAATAGCTACAGTAGCAAGGGTATGATTGTAGCAGTAGAGATCTTACTAAATTTCAGCTTGACTACTGTTAATTTTACTGACTTCTGAGTAGGAAAAATAACCTTGGCCCTTACATTTCTATTCATCAGGGTGGATTGGGAGGCCGAATTTTCTAAAATATTCGCTTTGGATCATAAGGTCTTTCATTGAGTCAAATGGCATGGTTTCAATTCCCAATTTGTACGTGACCAAGACCTGGCCTGTCCAACATTGTGGTTTTTTTCTGGGTTCTCCGGTTTCCTCCCACTGCTGAAGACTCCTAAAGCGAATTTATGATATCAAAATTAAACCATATGTTAGTCCTGAAATGACCTAAATTGTGTCGAGTGGATGTTAAAATCCATTTCTCTCTTTCTCCCCTTTCTTTAGATCAAAATAATTATCACTATTTTATTTTCTATATTTTAGATTGAAGAAGGTAAAATCGAAATACATGATAGAGAATTACAGAAACATCTACATTTAACAACCGCTGATTTAAGATTTGGTGAATATATTGTTAAAACAGTTATTGAAGATAAAGATATTTACTTAGATGGAACAGGTTTGTTTATTGCTCTAAATTCCATCATAATGACAATGAGAAAGTAACAAGAATATAGCAGAGAGTTTGTGCTAGGGTTAGGAAAAGAATTCCTAGCTGGAGAACTTATATACCTGTCAATCAAACTACATGGCATAAATTTAGAACTTTAAAGAATTTAACCTTAAAACATAGTAAATACAGTTAAATTTATAGTTTTTGTGTGTACTTTTTTTAAGAATTAGGATGATGCTAAGTAAGTTACTTATTCTTTAGAAAAAAAGCTTATGTTAGGTGCGGGTTCAAAACATATGTTAATATGTTTTTTCAAAGATTCTGTTTATTTTTCTTATGTTTTTTTCTTTACTAGTATGGTCAATCCCAGTTCAAACTTGGGGGGTTGGATGGCTTAGTGGTTAGCACGTGCGCGCTGTATCATTAAGTCTGTCTTTGAGTCAATTATGGAAATAATATTGAACCATATGTTAGTCCCGAAATGACCTAGTTTGTGTCCAGTGGACGTTAAACCCCATTTCTCTCTCTCTCTCTCTCTCCCAGTTCAAACTTAACAACCATGTTTCTAGTATGTTTGATAGAAGAAAAACTAAGGCCATGTTACACGGTGTAGTGTGAAGATAACTCACATGCTGAACATTATTATTTTTATATTTACAGAATGGGAAGGAGGTGATGAATGGTTGAGAGCTCAATTTAGATTATATTTACAATCACTATTAGCAACCATGATGCAAGATGGTAAATACTCTGCTCTTACTTATACTTTTTTACAAATATAATAAAAACATAAGGCTACACAAAATAAATGTCTTGTTTCTCGGGCAACTGACAGCTGAAACTGTAGGGGGGGAGGGCGGTTTATTTTTTTTTTTTATCTCATTTCTGGCTAGAGGATGGTGCAAAATAAAATTTGCCTATTGTTGAAAATTGTTGGGGCTTGTATTTTTTTTTTTTTTTTAATAAGAAAGTCATTACTTGTCTACGGTTTTGCTTTCAGTTATATATTATACATACTTAGAACATAAACCCAAAAATCAAGTCTACTCAAACACTGAACACTGACTGAAAGGAAAATAATTTTCCATATTTAATTCACGTAATGTAGCTTACTAATGGTAATAGTGACAACCATAATTGAAATTGGTTTAAAATAAAATTCCGTACGACTATTAATAGCCGTCCATAATAACGACAATATTTTAAAGAGTAAGCCTCTGTCAGCATGTGTATCATCATCATCACGGTAAACGACACTTCGATCTAAATCTAGTATCGCTGGTTTATAATGATTGACCTAATTCCAACCAATGTCACGTGTCATCGGGATATGACTGTTTCTCAGGTTATTCGGTGTGTTTCTCAGGATATTCGGTGTTCTATCTGGGGTTTATATCGAATGACTATTTAAATTTACCTAACAACTCGTCAGTAAAACCATCAAATGTGTAATCCAATTATTATTTTCCGGATTATCAAAACTACCGTTAAATGTGCTAATGACCCAGATTCTGACTAAGGTATGGTGACTATCATCGTATCGTATTCGTAGCCACAAGTTATAATAATTAACCTGTTCTACGATTCATTGTTTTATAAGTAGGATTTTTTTAAACATGGACCGACTGAAGCCGGCAATAATGAGCCGATTAAGATCGAATGATTGAAATACATTGCATTGTTGTCAATGACTTTCGGTGTTTAACACGATTCAAATTCTAGTTCACAAGGGGAGGTAATTAAAATCACGTGATACAAAAATGGAGGTTCTTTCGATATCAATAAAAAGGACCCGTAAATGAGCGTTTACATCTGAATCAGTTTAATACATTTGAATGGATATTCACGTATGGGGCATGTAGATACATGCGGCATATTTTTTTTATGACTTGCTTATCGATGTTTGGGCGGGCGTTACATATTTTTTTTTTTTCATCAAGACTAATAAATAGGCCGCTTGCGCAACCAATTTTGCGTGCGGGCGGTGCCCGAGAAACAACTTATTTTATTTGTGTTGCCTAATGTTGTATGAGAACTCCAGAATGTAATTAAGGTACAGTCTAAACACCTTACTCAATTTCATTTTAAAAATATGACAATGATATTTCGAGGGTGGGAGGCTTGGGCAATTATCATTTCAAAGTAAGTCATCAGGTTTTAGTATGTGGCTGGCTGATTAAACGGGAACCATTTTGTTAGTGCAGTTTATTTTATAACAAACTTCTGATCTGACAGACTTAGGGATTTGACATCAAAACCGACCATTTTTATTTTTATATTAGGTTATTTTATAGGTCCCATCTTTTTCTTCTTTTTAGATATAAAGTTGCAGGAAGATTTTGGTTTAGTTTTTATCTCTGCTTGGAAGACAACTAATAATTATCGTTACTGGAGTTCAGTGTCACATCCAGCCCTTCACAACATTCCCACAGGGTAAATATATGCCTGCTTATCATTTTTATGTCCTTGAATCCTTGAATGGAATAATCTGCAGGATTTCCAGTGAGATTCAAGTAGCATAACACTGGAAAACTATTTTATGATTAAATCAAATTTAAGAAAGCAATACTTTTTTAACCATCCTCCAAAAATCGGGTAAATTGAATTGGGTGAATGGTACTACCATTACCTCAATTAGATTCTTGTATTTTCATGAATCAATATTTTCATTTTAACAACTGATTGTCATGTGAGCATAGTGTATTATCTAATGAAAGCCTTATACCACTTTACTGAATGACTTTCATTATTTCACACCATTTAGATTTTGGGTTCCGATTAGGAAGAAGCAAAATATTAAGAGCCATTCCACGAGAAAACCATGCAGAAGGTTCGAAGGTGGGGGTCGGTCGATTGAGTTCATATTTACAGGGTTTGGTCGACCCATCGAGCCTACTCCCCAGCCAAAATCGTCGATTTTAGAAATCAACCGTTTCTGAGATACAGCCCGATTATGTTTTTCAGCTAATTTTCGTCATTTTCCGGTTAAATTTCGACCATTTTTGTAGCATTGCTATAGCCGTTAATCGACCAATGGCAAACTAAGTTCTGGTTGGTGATTATAGTCCGGGTCTCACCCTACCATATTATAATGGTCACCCAGTGCAACCTCTCTTTCCGTAGGTGTCATGACACTACACAAAATACGTGTCTGCAGACACCTGAATTATACCCTTTCTTCAAATTGCGATAACTCCACTGGAGCTGGGTTTGCGATAAAAATGGAAATCGTTTTATTTGCCGCTTGACCTGTTCTAACAATATAAAAAATAAAATCGTTGTCAACTAACCTTAAACAGTATGAAAATTTGTGTCGAAAGTTGCGAATTTCGTCACTTTTCGCGTCGAATTTGCACTTTTTAAGTGTTGGGATTTCGTTTGTACATTCCGGACATGTCCTACGCTATTTCATCAATCTAGTCTTGAACAGAAGACATTGCTTCTCTTTTGTAGGACTATTTATCAATCCAATAAGAGTGAGTATCAACCTTATCTACGTGATTACCTCGGTGGTTTTTCCATTGCCGGACAATTTAATCTCATTGATATCAACCGACAGCACGTAGAAACTAGTCCTTGATGTCACATATTATCCTGATAGTATATAACATCCTATTAAACCTTAAACCTTTAACTTATTTTCCGTAATGAAACTACTTCTTTTAAGACACCATATATAAATTCCCATTTACAGTGACACTTTCCCGCGATCTCGATTATCGCACGAAAATCGCTTACCATATAAGGCAGTGGTTACTACGAAACTACTGTATGTTTTATATGTTAACGGTGTTGTACGCCATATGCTGAAGTTCTGTATGCCTTTTAGAAGCTATTTAACTATCAATGTAATTTCAAAATACCATTTTCCGAAAATGATTTGACATCAACACAAGTAATTCTCATTTCGGACGTCTTTCTTTCATTTGCTGCCGTATAAACAAAGACTCGTAATTTTGGAGGAATATTACTGCCATGAATTTGATTGAAGCAGGCACGGATCGGCAAATTTCATTCTATCGTATTACGAAAGCACGTAATTTTATAGGAATATTACTGACATAAATTTGAATACCATACGGGAATTAAATATGAATAAGCGGTTGCCATGCAAGATACGCCCACATTTTGTAAGAGATGGACAGAGAACAATCAAAATAAAAAGCGATTTTTCGTACAATCAGGGTCCATCATCCAGTATGTTACAGACCGACATGCGACAATATCAAAAGGAACCAAGGTCTTTGGGATATAAAAGTATATATAAAAGTTTGATCAAGTTGAATAAAAATTGTGACATCAAGAGGGACTACAGGCTAAAAAAACGTGATTTTTCATATATTCAGGGGTCATAACTCAGGAAGTTACGGTGTGATATGTGCGAATATAGAACGGAACCGAGATCTTTGCAATGTAAACATACATTTTAAGTTTTATTAAAATCGGATAACAAATTGTATTCTCTAGAGTGTCCACAATCTTGGAATTACATATTTTTACACTATTTGCGTATGAGGAGCGGCCATTTTGTCCGACAGTTTTGGTCCGATTTTCAAGAAATTCGAACTTAGTCGTCATTCAGGCGTAACGGTGATATATTGAAACAGATTTTATAATCGGATAAAAATTATGACATCTAAAAGAACTTCAAGCTAAAAACACGATTTTTCGTAAAAATCAGGGGTCATATTCCACGAAGTTACGGTGAGATATGCGCCAATATCGACAGGGACCGAGATCTTTGGGATCTAAACATATATTTCAAATCATACAAAAATTGTGACCTCGAGCGTGTCCCCAACCCTGGAATTACAGACTTTTACTCTATTTGCGTACGAGGAGCGGCCATTTTGTCCTGCAGTTTCGTCCGGTTTTCACGAAATTAGAGCGTCCCCATCATTAGCGGGGAACGGTGATATATTAAAACGTTTTGTTGAAAGTGGATAAAAATTGTGAGCTGTAGAGTGTCCATAAACAAATTGTGGGCGGACAGGGACGACGAAAATATACGCCCACACGAAAATGTAGGTGTACAAAAATAGCGAGGTGTTCCTATTTTTATTACGTGCGGATTTGAATATTTTGTCAACATTTTATAAAGAAGAAAACGATGTTCTGACATCACAAACTATTCTTATTTCGGAAGTTCTTCATTCATTTGCTGTTGTATAAACGAAGACACGTTTTTTTGAAGGAATATTACTGCTGTGAATTTGAAACCGAAGCAGGATCGACAAGCTTTCATTCAATCAATGTATTACGAAAACACATAATATAAATAACATAAATTTGAATACCATACGGGAATTAAATAGAATGAATGGAATGAAATGGGATTTAACGTCCTACTATTCTGCTTCTAATGGGCTAATGAAGACGGGTGAATTAAATATAAAAAATATCGAGGCGCACCTATTGTTATTACATACGGGATTTGAATATTTTGTTGAGACGTGATTTTTAATTGTGGTATGAATCCGTCTGCTTAAATAACGATAAGAGTTATGCCTCTTTACTTTCGGTAAAATGTCCGACTAGAAAATTTTTGAAATTGGATTTATAGACTGGATACCAAACCGCATCGAGACTGAATATTTTGGCAAAGCGGGTTGAAGGGGAGCTGGATTTGATATATTGACCCTTTGAATAACAATATAGGCGATTGGTTACCTGAATATTTTCATACTGTTGCAAGTTAGCTGACAAAGATTTTATTTCTTATGTTGTTAGAACTGGCCAAGCTGCAAATAAATTGTTTTAATTTTTACCGCAAACCCTGCTCCAGTGGAGTTATCGAGATCTGAAGATAGGGTACATTTCAGGTATCTCGAGACACGTCTTGTGTTGTCTCCTGACACCTATGGAAAATGAACTTGAACCGGGTTACCATGATAATGTGATCAGGTAAGACCCTGACTATCACGAACAACCAAAACCTAGTTCTCCAGGGTCTTGTAACAGCCGTAGTAGTGCGACAAAAATAGCTAAAATTTCGCCTAAAATTGGCAAAAATCAGCCGAAAAATGTAATCGGCCAGTATCTCGGAAACGGTTGATTTCTGAAATCGGCGATTTTGGCTGGGGAGTAGGCTCGATGGGTCTACCAAACCCTATGAATATGAACTAAAACGGCCAACCCCCACCTTCGAACATCTGCATGATATTGCATGGTTTTCTCGTGGAATGACTCTTAATAGGGTTATGTTGTACTCTATTTACACTATAAGACTCGGACAAGCTTTGCCTTTATTTTGCTTGGCGTTATTAAAACTATGACAGGTTTTTATACACCCACATGGAAATGTGGTCGTATATTGCCGTCGTCCCTGTCTGTCGTCCACTATTTCTTGTGAATACTCTACAGACTACATTTATCATCTTATTGTTTTGAAATTGATATATGTCGTTTACTTTAGTGGGATGAAGAATCCTATTTAATTTCAATAATTCCCCTTAATTGTGAACGACAAAAGTTATCTTCCAATCTGTATGAAATTTATATGCATTATTTAAAATATGTGAAACAAAGAATCCTATTGAATTTCGTCAATTTTTATACGCCCACATTGAAATGTGGTCGTATATTGTCGTCGCCCCCGTCCGTCCGTCGGTCCGGCGTCCACAATTGCTTGTGGACGCTCTAGAGGCTAAAGTTAATATCTGATTGACCTTAAATTTATACACAGTGTTTAAGGTCTTGAGACAAAGAAGCCTATTGATTTTCAGCGACTTACGATAATTACTGCCAGAGTTATGGCCATTGATCACTTTGAAAAATCTTGTGGATGCTCTAGAGGCTAAAGTTAATATCCGTTTGAGTTTAAATTCATACACAGTGTTTAAGGTCATAAGATAATTACTGCCAGAGTTATGGCCCTTGATCACTTTGAAAAATCTTATGGACGCTATAGAGGCCAAAGTTAATATCCAATTGACTTTCAATTTATACACAGTGTTTAAGGTCATGAGACGAGAAGCCTATTGATTTTCAGCGATTTCCGATAATTACTGCCAGAGTTATGGCCCTTGATCACTTCAAAAAATCTTGGGATGCTCTAGAGGCTAAAGTTAATATCCGATTGAGTTTAAATTTATACACAGTGTTTGAGGTCATGAGACGAAGATTCCTATTGATTTTCAACGATTTCTGATAATTACTGCCAAAGTTATGGCCCTTGATCACTTCAAAAAATCTTGTGGATGCTCTAGAGGCTAAAGTTAATATCCGATTGACATTAAATTTATACACAGTGTTTAAGGTCATAAGATGATGAAGCCTATTGGTTTTCAGCAATTTCTGATAATTACTGCCAGAGTTATGGCCCTTGATCACTTCAAAAAATCTTGTGGATGCTCTAAAAGCCAAAGTTAATATTCGATTGACTTTAAATTTATACATAGTGTTTAAGGTCATGAGACGAAGAAGCCTATTGATTTTCAGTGATTTCCGATAATTACTGCCAGAGTTATAGCCCTTGATCACTTTTAAAAATCTTATGGACGCTGTAGAGGCCAAAGTTAATATCCGATTGACTTTCAATTTATACACAGTGTTTAAGGTCATGAGACGAGAAGCCTATTGATTTTCAGCGATTTCCGATAATTACTGCCAGAGTTATGGCCCTTGATCACTTCAAAAAATCTTGGGATGCTCTAGAGGCTAAAGTTAATATCCGATTGACATTAAATTCATACACAGTGTTTAAGGTCATAAGATGATGAAGCCTATTGGTTTTCAGCAATTTCTGATAATTACTGCCAGAGTTATGGCCCTTGATCACTTCAAAAAATCTTGTGGATGCTCTAAAAGCCAAAGTTAATATTCGATTGACTTTAAATTTATACATAGTGTTTAAGGTCATGAGACGAAGAAGCCTATTGATTTTCAGTGATTTCCGATAATTACTGCCAGAGTTATGGCCCTTGATCACTTTGAAAAATCTTATGGACGCTATAGAGGCCAAAGTTAATATCCAATTGACTTTCAATTTATACACAGTGTTTAAGGTCATGAGACGAGAAGCCTATTGATTTTCAGCGATTTCCGATAATTACTGCCAGAGTTATGGCCCTTGATCACTTCAAAAAATCTTGGGATGCTCTAGAGGCTAAAGTTAATATCCGATTGAGTTTAAATTTATACACAGTGTTTGAGGTCATGAGACGAAGATTCCTATTGATTTTCAACGATTTCCGATAATTACTGCCAAAGTTATGGCCCTTGATCACTTTGCAAAATCTTGTGACGCTCTAAAGGCTAAAGTTATCATCCGATTGACTTCAGATTGATACACAGAGTTTAAGATTTTGAGACGAACAAGTATATTGATTTTCAATGAATTTTTATGACTTGAACAGTTAAATCCATGATATTAAAAGCTTTGCATACAAAACGTTAGCATGGGGCTGAACTTTATAAAAACCAAACAAATTCTAATAGTTTTCTGATTATTACTTCGTGAGTTGTTGCTCTTAATCAGATTTTAGTGTATTATAAATGTTTCATTACCGAAAAAAGTAAAATTATGCGATAATCCTTGTTGACTGCCCGGACGATTTAGCTGCTGTGGGCGTATGTTTTGTTGCCTGGCAACCTATCTTTGTTAATTACATTTAGACTTATGGCCCTTGTTTTGCTTTGTTGAACCTTGCTCGAATGACAAAAATTATCACCTGATCTGTATGGGATTTATATGCATTACATGTATTTAGATTAGTAAAAGGATAAAGTCCGTCGAATTCCAACAATTTCTGTTAATTACTTCTAGAGTTAAGGCCCTTGTTTCAGTTTGTAGAACCTTGTGAACCCTCAAATGCCGAAAATTATAATCTGATCTGTATGAAATTGTCTTGTAAATGTCTCCCATTACCTCAACAAAGAAAAAATATGCGACAACCCTTGTTGACCATCGGACAACTTAGCTGCTGCGGGCGTATGTTTCATTGCTTGGCAACCTATCTTTTTCTCTCTTTTTTTTTCAGTCACCCATTTCAAGGTAATTTAAATATGAATGATATTCGGATGAGATTATCCCAGTAAGTATATATAATTTATCTCAGCTGTTCAACTTTCAATATGGTTACATTTTTGATTAACTGTGTCACTATATATTTTAATACTATTGTATATTATACATTTACTAACTGTTATATCTACTTTGTGTTATTTTCTTTAGTATTATTTTGTATTTTATTAGTTTTATTATTTGTCTATTTGTATTTTATATTTTAGTACTATGCAGAATACTGAAAGAGGAAAGAAATTAAATGCTGCTGTGGTACAGACAGGAAAATATATGGTAGAAACTGGCAAAGCTGTTGGTTAGTACAGTCATTTGTATAAAATGCTGAATCTTGCCAATTATTTCATCAGTTTTTGCATACACTCTTATCTACATCTTAAGTTTGAATATTACATAATTCTCTGTGTCAAGCTACAACAAATGACATGAACAGTGTGCAGTTGATGTCGTAGATTAAATCTATAATGTAACATCTGAACACTTTTGTAAATTATGTAAATGTTTGATAATAATATATGACAGACTTTTAATTTATGTTACAGGTGGTGCCTTAAACCATGCAAAGTCAGCTGTATCATCATGGTTCAGTAGCTGGCGACAAGAAAAACCAACCACTCCCCCCTCTGATAATACAACTATGTCACCAACAGAGGAAGAGGCAGCCAGTTCTAGGAAAAGTTGAACTGTAGAATTATCAAATCGCTAAATGAATTCTTATTTGCATTTTTTACATTTTGTTATGTTATGATATTTTGTTGCAGTGATCACGTAGAGTAAAACAGTCTGTGAAGTTGTTAATGTGTCAATGCATTTAAAATAGTGATTACCAAAATATGGTGTGTACCCAACATCTATTTGGGGGTAAATTTCAGTGTTTTTACTAAAAATCATTGGATTTAGATAAAATTAAACTTTTAATAATGTGGTATATTGCTGATTCATTGCACATATTTTACATTATAAGAAATCTTCAGAATGTCGATAGGCATTTATATTTATTGTACTTACACTTAAAATATTTGGTTTACATTGTATATTAATTAATGGTATGCTACTTATTTCATTTTGTAAGTTGTAAGTAATCATCCTGGATTTATTTTGTGTGAATGTTTTTGCATTGATCAGGGATAGGTTGATCAAAGGTTTGTGGTTTCATTAATCAAATCTTCATGGGTGGATTGATCAGTTACTTATAAATCTATTGATGAATGGTTCATGTATAAGTTTGTGAATGTATTAATCAAATGTTCATGGATGGATTGATCAATTTCTCATAGATCTATTGATGAATGGTTCATGGATAAGTTTGTGAATGTATTAATCAAATGTTCATGGATGGATTGATCAATTTCTCATAGATCTATTGATGAATGGTTCATGGATAAGTTGATAAACATTTTTTGAATGCATTAATCAAATGTTCCTGGATGCACTGATCAATTACTCATGGATTTGTTCATGGATAAGTTGATCAGTTACTTATAGATCATACTCCTCGCAGTGTTGTTTCATTAGAGCTAATCCCACTAAACACTGCTTTAATGGAAGCAAATTTCTGTTCCAAATTATGACTGGTCAATAGTCCGATTAACAACCAATAGCTAACTGCCTAACAATATCATAACATTTTAAACAAATCTCCAAATTGGACCAAATATGATACATAACGTTACGTCATGACTCACGATTTTATTATGCCCAATTAACCAGTGCATAGCAGAATATTGCAGAAAAACTAATTGCGTGACAAACGAGGCTATCAACACAAATGTAATGTAAACAATACTGTATGGAGACGAAGAATACTTTCACCATTTTTAATACCTTAAATGACTGTCCAAAGTTTTAGGGAAGACCCCAGATTAAACTAAGGGCTGTGATGTTGCTGTACTTGGGATAGATTTGATTGAACGGGAAGAATAGACATACTCCCTCAAAAGCTCTAGTATCAGAAGCTAATCCAGCAATGGGCAGAGAGGGATTGCTCGGACCATTGCTTCAGGAATATGCTTATAGATCTATTCACGGATACACTGGTAAATGTAAAATGGAAGGGAAGATGATAATTTATTCAGTAATTCATGGATGAATAGATCAGTAATTCATGGATGAATTGATTAGTAATTCATGGATGAATTGATCAGTAATTCATAGACAGATAGATAGATCAAGAAGTTATTAATGAGATTTATTATTGTATATTTTAATATTTGTGGTTTGATCTAGATATTGTATTTATAGTAAACTACTGTACATGTATATTATGGTAGAAAAGTGCTAAATGGGTGTATTTATTACTAACTTTATATATATTTCAAAATTTTTATCAGGAGTTGTTATAGTATTAAATAAATGTTTATTTTTGTTGGAATAATTCTAGAAGAGGTTACTGCATGTGTATTATGAATTGTTATTATATTTATATGTATTTACAATACAAACAGATTTTCCATTATTACCTTAATTAGATAATGGTTATATGCAATATGTTCAAATATAATAATGTAGATTGCTTTGTGTTAGTACAGGGGATTATTGTATTGGTTAATCACTCACATGCTCACATTATCATGTGGATGTATATTGTCCTCGCACCTGTCCGCCCATTCAACCGGCCGGGCACCCGTCCATAATTTGTATGTGGGCACTCGCTGATTGTATGAAAAATCACATATTTAGCTTGTAGACACTCTAGATGTCACAATTTTTATAAGACTTTGATGAAACTTGAAATGTATGTTTATAACCCAAAGATTTTGGTTCCTGTCGATATTCGTGCATTTATTGGACCCTAACTTCCTGGATTATGGCCCCTAATTGTACGAAAAATCACATTTCTTTTTTAGCTCATTTTCTGTCCATCTGTTGCAAAATGTTGGCGTATCTTGCATTGTAATTGCTTGTTGTGCATTGGTCATCAGGCATGTAGGGTCGTTTTTAGTTACCCACGAGAGTGGCCCGCCCCATGATAATCTATGTTGTGAAGGTATGTTGTGCGCTGCTTTGCCTGGGGGGCATATAATGCTGTTAAGGCATGTGTATTTATTTAACTGACATGTATTAAACTATATTTACTAATTTCAAATGGGTATCCTAGCTTTTTTAAGCAATGGGTTGTTTAGGTAGGTTTGCTTTAGATTTAGAAGAACTATTTAGAACAAATAAAATAACATTCTGGCATTATTTATTCCTAATGTTTTATGTAATTATTAAAATGCATAATCAAGGTCTTAAAAGGGGTTTCTATAGCAACTAAAAGGTGAAAGAGAAATATGTCACTGATATGTCTGGATAGGGCTTACTTAGAGATTTGAGATATAACTGTATTACACTGAAGTAGAATGAATATTTTTTAGGTGTGGACCTAAAATTTTATCATAAAATTAATTTCAAATAATCACCATTGGTGATGTGTAACCAGATTTAAGTCTAAATATACATTTTTGCCGAATAGTCATTTCACAGACTTGTTGTTAGATAATCTGGAGTAGCTAATCTTATCAAATTTCTATGCACCATAATTTAGATTTTGCACAAGGCAACAATTTAACAAAAATCCATTAAACCAAACCATGGCATGTTACATAGTTTTAGTATTAATGGTGTTTTGTGTATGGAAACAAGCTACTGTTGAATTATTGAATCTTTGTTGAAATACTTTGTTGACTATTGAATTGTTAAATATATATTAATATAATACATGTAAATCTATTCTACATTTTTCAATAATAAACTTTTATCATACAATTTTACTGATTTTGTTTTTGATATGAGTACAGTTCAGTCTTATTGTTCTCTTATGTCACTGGAAAGCCTGAAGGTGACCAAAATTCCTTTCAGACCCTCTTGTTCCCATCCTAGGCTGAACTAGCCTTTGAAACACGTCTGGGGCTAGGTCGTAGAAACATCTGTAACTGTGCGGGAGAGCTTTGCATCCAATTCTTTATTTTATGGGAAGCCGATAGGTTTCTGTAGTAACAGAGTAATATGATAAAGTTACGAATCTTTGAGATAATGCAGTATCAGCTGCGTTCTGGAAGGAAGGTAGACTGTTTAGTTATTCTTATGATTGGTTAGGATATTGTTGCAGTAATCGTGACACAACATGATAACAGAAATTACAAACATGTTCTATTGACTATTATAACATTTATTAACAAAATCATAAAAATTTGATAATATTCCCAAAATGCAACAAGCTGTTACCATGCAAGATACGCTCATATTTTGTATGAGATGGACAGAGAACAAGCTAAACAAAGATGTGATTTTTTGTACAATCATGGGCAATAATCCAGGTTACGGTCTGACAAGTGCGAATATCAAAAGGATAAAAATTCTGACCTCTAGGGTTTCCACAAGCTAAAACATGACTTTTTTTACAATCAGGGGCCATAATCCATGATGTTTCAATATGATACATGCCAATATCGAAAGGAACCCAGAACTTTTGGAGATCTACCTATATTTGAAGTTTTGTCAAAATCGGATAATATTGTGACCTGTAGAGTGTCTACAGACAAATTGTGGACAGAGGCGACGACAATATAGTCCATTTTCATTGACAATATACGTCCATATGAAAATATGAGCGTATAAAAACTAAAATTAACAATTTAAAGACCCAGGTCAACTTCCACACAACTGAATCCTGTATACTTATTTAAATATTTTTTTAACTTGTATTTATGTACGAACATCTAATGTTGGCAAACAATCACATGTAGTAATAATGGTTTAAAATACTTCTGCTTTCTACCTTAATGACGATCTACAGGGGTGACAAAAAACATAGAATCTGGCATTTGAAACAGAGTTTTTAATCCGAAATGGAAAATAGCAAAAAAAAAAAAAAAAAGTTTTTCCAAAAACCTATAAATGTAATCATAACATATACTTATCGCTGAGGTTCTATTGACTTTTTTTTATACAGATAAAGTTAAACAATTTTAACTGATTTTGAACAATTAAAAATATTTATGACTATATAATGACATCAAGTTGACCTTGATCTTTCATATAAGCAAATACTGATAACAATAAATATCATGGTATATAAATAATTTATAAAATAGACACACATTGTAATATATACAAAAAACAACACCAAAAAACATGATATGTATATAAATATACATCTTTTCCATTAGTTTTTGTCCTTTTGTTCTGATATATAAAAAAACAATTTGTGAAAATAATATCAGAAGCTAAATTACATATAAGCACAAAACAAGTAAATCTCCTGTTGTTTAAAATTTCATAAGCTGTTAAAATATAACAATCATAAATTAAATACATGTATTTACATTTTTTTCATGAGTTCTTTATAGGCGTTAATTAACATATTTCAAACTATTCAACACCACAGTATATACATATGATGAAATAAGAGGGATCTCCCTTTAACCAATGTCAAGAATGTACCTAAAACTAAGAAAGAGCAGGATCAGTAAGATATCATGGCACCTTATAATAATCAGCAGTGAATATTCACTAGACCGCTACAATCACAGAGAAGGATATGACATCGGTGAAGTTTAATGAGCTCGCAAATTAATTTTAATTCTAAAACATTTTTTTGAAGTATTAGAAAAACAAATAAAGGTGTTTGAAGTATATCTAGATAAAAAATATTTCCTATTTAGTGTACCATAAATGGGTATATAAAATGAGTAAAAGGCATCATTCTGCCCGAACCAGTTAACACAATGGATGCGCCATAGAGTCGATGATGGACGCCCTGTGATGTGATGTCACCTGTAGAGAAGGCATACTTGAACTTATAAAGGTCTGTCATTTAACACAGAGGTATAAGAAGGCTTCCACAATACCTCTGTGAAACAGATTGTATTCATGGCTGCTAAATATCGTCTGTAGGTTTGTCTCTGTACAATACTTTTGATTGGCTACAATAATATAACCCTTAAATTTGATATCAAAAAACATACATGTAATCCACGCTATCATCCACATACTTAAAGATATTTATATATCACCCAGCATATGTTGAATAATATCTTTCAACAGCCACATCTAATTGCATGTCCGCATCTAAAATAATTTGCCTTGCTTTTTCCATATCTGCTATTTGGGTAACTTGTATAAAATCAGTAATTAGAACATTCATAACTTCATCAACAGCTGCAGCGTCAGGATCTATTTGGGCAGAGCCACTGGTGCCACCTACTGCACCATGAGAGTTACTTGCCCCTGAACCCTTCTTGTATGGCTACAACAAACAAAACATAAATACATTTTACAGGACAACTTCTTATTAATTATAAGTAGGTGTAACTATTAATTCAAAATATGGTCTTTTTATCTTTGATTACCCCTTAGGAATTACCATATACAAAAAGAGAGAGAAATGGGGTTTAATATCCACTCGGGACTAACATATGGTTCGATTTATTTCAATAATTTGGCTGGGCGTAGGGGTCTTTAGCAGTGGGAGGAAAGAATAATCCTGGACAATCCTGATGAACTTTCTAGTTGTCCTAGTTAATAATAATATTTGTTTCCCTTGCACTATCTAATTGCACCATATTGATTGAAACACTGGGATTAATTCTCCTCTATTTGATACCCAGACCAAGCGAGGATCGATCATACAACTGTGTAGTCACAGAGTTACCTCAATAAACGTCATGTTGTAATTGCTACTTACCATTGGTCTCCCTCCAGTATCCGATAAACTCATTATATTCCGCCATTTTTGTCTTTCCTTTTCTCTTTCCTCCTGTAAAATATACAAGTTTCAAGATACATAATGGAAGATTAACTTTGGTAATTTTCTGACTAACATACAGTTTGATTTTATGGTCACATGTGCCATGTTTAGGGATGTACACAGATAGACCTCGTTTTTTCGTGCCATCCAAAGGACATGGGAACACTTCACTATATCACTGACAACTAAACACCTGCCTTAAAAAATCTTATTTTCGGTCAACAATGGGATGGAAAATTCTCTATTATTAAGTAAAAATTGGAAAAAAAGACTACTAGTTCTATTTGAGAAACAAATATTACAGTTCTAATAGAAAGTACAGGAAAGCTACACCACACATGGACAAGACAAAATGGGCAGATAGATAGTCAAATGTGGGTGACATCGATACATAACCACAGTAAGTGTGGCATATAAACAAGAGGAAGTCAATCACAAGTGTGTGTGTGTGAGAGAGAGAGGGAGAGAGACAGAGACAGAGACAGAGATGGGGTTTAACATCCACTCGACACAAACTAGGTCATTTCGGGACTAACACTAACATATGGTTCAATTTTATTTCAATAATTCGCTTGTGCGTCACTATGAAATAACTGTAAATAAAATTCAAAAGCGAAGTAATTCAAATATATCATAACATGCTATATTGAGTTTAGATATTTTTGACGTAATATAGTAAATGTAGAGAAATGTGATATATAACAATATTCTACCAATTATAAATCATATTTGAGTGTTTTCATGCGTTACATTGTAATTTTTAAAACTTCTTACTTCAGATGGTTCAACCCAAGCTTCACCCTTCTCTATACATCTCTGTTTTCTCACACTGTCACGAACTAATTCTATTGTTCTCATATGTTCTTCTTCAGTTACTGCAATATAAAACATAATATTATCAACTCCATATAAAAATATAATAACTTGTATGTGGGCGTGAAAATTTTGATATAAGCCTTTGATCAGGTATAGACATACGACCAGGATTTAATTCAGGTTATTTTATCTTGTCTTATACTTTGTATCATCCAATTTCCATTACCCTTACCACATCTACACTATAGCTTATCTTATACCCTAAAATATCTTCTAAGGCTATTAAGACCATAGCTTTGTAAGTAGAACATTATTCTTGGTTAATAAAATCAAAATGGTGTTTATTGACACATAGACACGAGCACCAATTGGCCTATATTACACCAACTATATGGTGACCTGTTAAGAGACAAACTAAATAACATCACAAAATAAGATATATATAGAGAAATAAAAACAAATATTAGTCTATTAAAGAAAATTAAAAACAAGTACTTCATTCTTTAATATGTCTTTTAAATCTATAGATAAAGTATTACAGTAAATATATCACTATTTATTACAAAAATTCAGTGTTTTACTAAATAGCTCCCTACATTTACATCACTGTAATAACTTACAATTTGACATTGAAGCCGATTGTCCTCCTTGAGCTGTTGGCCCTTTAATTGTAGAGTTTGGATCTGTTCTGTATGTTATTATATATTCTATCATAGCACGACGGTTTTCATATACAATAAATTCATTATAATCAATAGGACAACCCTGGAAAAAAAAATGAAATCACTTTACTAAAAAAATGCTTTTGTTATAATGACCATTTCTAAGGTTCAAAATTAAAATAACAAATACAAACTTACAAACACGTGTCATAGATCATTCAAATTAAAGATCTACAATGCAGCCCACATTAAACAATCTGCAAATCATGCTCGGCAGAAAATGGCATATAACCCTCCAAAACAAAAACAACTGATGACTAATACCTTCCTCATTGGTACCATATATTCTTGCATACATTAAATAATCAGCAAATCATGCTCGACAGAAAACGGCATATAACCCGCCAAAACAAAAACAACTAACGACTAATAACTTTCTCATCGGTACCTTATATTCTTGCATACCTTAAAGCAACTCAAAGTTGGTCTTACCTTAACAGAATCATAAAATCTCCAGCCTCCAGTAGCAATTTCTTTTTCTGGTTCTCGTCGAAGATCAACATCTGTAGCCTTTGGTGGATAAACCTGAATATAATATAGACAAATAAGATCTCAAATTCTACAAGGTGTTTTTTTTTTTTAGCGAATTCTCAGAAAAATTTGAAGCATCTATATAGGGATTCTGGAGAAAACCTAAATGGTTCTGTGGCTATTAAAAGTATTTTGATGAGGCTGTCCAAAGATAACACGTGACACAATTATATGGAATACAAGTTATTTAAGAGTTTATTACAGCGACGTTTCGACGAGGGTTCTCCCTTCTTTGTCAAGCAAAGAATTCTGTCATGTGTTATTCTCAACCAGTTTCTAAGTGCCACTTAAACATAGAGGAACTCTAGGTCTATGGAAGAACTGCAGATTTATGCTTTATAAAAGTTGAAAAATATATACTTACCTTAGCATCTCCAAGTATAACTCTACACATTAAAATACATTCTGATTTTTTATTTACGCCAGTATATTGAATACATTTCCTTGGATTATCACTGAAACATATAATAAATAGTCTTCTTAATCAAATGTTGCAGTTTTCCAGTCTCATAAAATCATGTAATTCCACAGTTCCAATAAAAATCAAATGGAATAAAATGAGGTTTAACATCCTACTGTTCAACCCCAACTTGATACGCCATACAGGGCGCTATGAGGCAAATTTTGCCCGGGCAGCCGCACTATGGCCTACTCTTATATCGATGTTACAACTGCCAAGGCATCTTTTATGTGCATGCCAATATATACACAGGGCCTCAGTTTATGGTCCCATCTGAATGACTAGACAGCTGTGCTTGTCAGGCCCTCCATCCTGCACTACTGACAATGGAAAACACGCCAGAATATTCCGATGAACTTTCTCAGCCAATGGCAGGATTTAACACACGACCTCCAGGCTAGCGAGCCAGCGTCTTACCCACTGTGGCTCCTCACAGCTCCAATACCAATAAAACATTCATGTAGTCCCACAATGATTCAATAACAGTTTTTTTTTATCTCATACAAATTATTTAGCCTCAGAACTATTTCATTCGTCCAGAAATCAGATCATCTAATAGTTCAGTATTAACAATGAAAATATATTTAGATAATGGATCTCATTCAAAAAAATGTTAATGGATTGAATGTTAGTGGATTGGACGTGGCATTCAATAATGCACTGGGGCTAATACTAACATACACATCATTGGTTGCAAGGTATCAAAACATATGCCCACCAGCAGCCAAGTCGTCTGAGCAGTTATGAGCTAAACAATTCAGAAAATTTCGAAAAGGTACATAATTCTAAACAATTCTAAATGTGGGGAGCATCCTACGAAAGTTAATAAGATGAAAATATCTTACCTAAAATATATACCTTTACCAAAACATCCCATACGACTTAACCTAGCATCTAATCCTTCTTCACTAATACGTTCTTTATCAGCTGGTGTTCCATGATATAAATATCGCACATTTAGATCAAAACCTACAAATAATTATATAATATTAGTAATCAAGAAATTAAATCATTCCTTTTTTAAAGGACAATAAAGTAGACCGTTTGTAAAAATTTGTAAACCTGTCTAAAACTCATTATAGTTGCCGTTATAGTTTCGAATTTTGTTTTTTTCCAGTGAGTAACATAATTTACAGGTTAATACTATCATATTGCAAAATAACAAAATAGTTAAGTATGAATACTATTTTGACACCTACTTAGCAAACTTTATCTTTTGAAGGGTCCTAGGAAAACTGGGATTTATCCCCTGAAGGATTATTTTGAAATGTCCAATTCTCCATAAATGAGGATATACAAGAACATTTCTTTTAGTTTTACATAATATAAGTGCCTGATGATAAAATATGTACCAGAACAAAAACCTTCAAATAAAGCAGAACTAACCTTCTATATGTTGTCTGGCTTTTAAAAGATGATCTTGTTCACTTTTATATTTTTCTAATAAATGGACATTTTGTAATCTCTCTACCTTCTCTATGATTAGTCCTGCTTGCGTGAAATCGTGTAAAATTGCATCATATTCTCTACAACCAGGGTATATGGGGAATAATTTATACAAATGAACTGATCCATGATCATTTATGTCTTCTTTGGACCAATTTTGAAGACGGTTATCTGATGTAAAAGGAACTGGTTCTAACTCCTCAATTCCACGAATGCTTGAATCAGAAATTTGTACATTCACATCAACAGTATCAATGTTTTCATCAGAATCATTCTGAGTGTAATCATTTCCAATTATATGACGAAACTTTTCATTGAGTTGGGAAGGGGAGATAATCCCACATCTAATTAATTCTTTCAATTCACGAGAATAATCTTTGTCCTCCTTTGTCATTGCTGTCCGAGAACCAGAATCATTTGACGTTTCTGCCCGATGCCCACTCATTTCACGCGGACCACTGTCGACATGCAGTGATGTGGCTCCAAAATTGCTATAGTCACTACTTCCTCGCACCTGAAGATCATTTAATTCATTAATTTCTAATCTTTCATTTGTCAATAGCTATTGATAGAATATATAATCATAGGATTAATATTAGTGTTTAGTACTGAAAGTACTACCAGAAATCTGCAATGACCTGTAGGGTAACATAATTGTGTCCTTTCATTGCCTTGGGCAAAATTGTTTAAACTTCTTTAAATTGAAAAGACAAAATGTCACAATCTTCATATTTACAGTGTTTAAATTGATTTACAGATTTCTTGAACTGTTAATAATAACAATTATCATCTCAACCAGTGGTTGCCATGCAAAATACGCATACATTTTGCAAGAGATGGATGGAGAAAAAGCTAAAATAAACCCTGCAATTTTTCATATCAGGGGCCATAATCCAGAAAGTTATGGTCTGAAATGCGTGAATATCGAAATGAACTGAAATCTTTGGGATATAAACATATATTTTCAGTTTCATCATTCGAACTCAACCATCATCAGGGTGTAACCATGAAATATGAAATAATTAAAGATACATTAGTTAAGAGTTTTATAAAGAGTTGGCCATTCTTGCTATAATAATTCAAAAACAGATGATAAAAAAAGAAAATGTTGAAAATTTCAGTCAAATTACTTTGTTCTGAACGGAATTGTCACTGTTAGAAGTTTGGATTTGAAATAGGCATCAATTCTGTCTTCACCGTCTATGAAAATTGGCGATCGTTTGATTGACAAGCGATAACTCCACCCACATATTCTCGATTATCAAGTAACATGCTCAATATCTATGGTAGCCTCGCTTGGCAGGCTTTTCATCACCTGTTTCCAGTTGTGACCTCAGCGAGTAACGGTAAACGTTAGCTTGGTCCGCAATTTATTGATTTAATTTTAAATGGACGAGGCTGTTTAAATCCAAACTGTATCCAAGCCATCGGTGGGTCTACAGAGTTGATTTTAAGCTTGTCGTGTAAATAAAGGTCTAATTAATAATTTCTATAACATCTGAAGCCTAAATAGAGACTTGCAATAGGCAGATTTAGCTCTTGCATAATGGATGTTTAAACAATTTTAAAATCGGATAAAAATTGTGACCTCTAGACGGTCTACAAGCTAAAACATGATTTTTTGTACAATCATGTCTGATACATGTCAATATCGAAAGGAACTGAGATCTTTTGGTTATAAGCCTATATTTCAAGTTTCGTCAAGAGCGGATAAAAATTGTGATCTGTAGGGTGTCCACAAACAAATTGTGGGCAAATGGACAGAGAGACAGATGTCAGATGAAAATACAGACTTCCAAACGAACAGGGGCAGCGACAATATATGTCCACATGAAAATGTGGGCGTATAAAAACAGGTAGACAAGGCATATGCACAATAGCATATACACAACTTTTCAGTGTCAGGGCGCCATTTAATTCTATAAATAAATGTTCAGTACAGGTAGCCCAATATTGCTGAACATCTTACGAGTATCCAAGAAATTAACTCTATATTCTGTAGAGAGAGTAGTCAGCAGCAATAACTCAGGAAATTATGTGCTGAAAAGCAATAGGAGTCAGCTTTACTCCACTAATTACTTTTCCAGAAATTTGGTAAAAAGCAGACAGAGTACCAGTAAGTGAGGATAGACAAATATGGTTGACAATAATATCATAACTATATCTTGAAGCAAAAATATATTTACTTACTTCATTTGATTTTCCATCTAAACTGTCATTTATTCCTAGATCTGATTCAAGCAAACTTATAGCCAATGCCTGATCTAATTCAGTTTGAAATTTATCTGAAAGATAACAATATATATATAAGACCAAAATGAAAAGAAAATTTCTTTGTAACAGTTGGTTAAAATTTCTTCAGAATATGGAATTAACGTAAGCCTGTGGTATATCGAAATATATTTCGCCTAAACAAAATATTGTAATGTGGTTTCTAAAGGCTATATAATAATTTATATAGCTTTGGCCTCTAGAGCAGAGTGTCCACAAGAATTTTTATCAAGAAATTATCAAGAGCAATAACTAACAATAATTATTGGAAATTGTTGAAAATCAATTGCATGGTAAATTAAGACACTAGAGCATTCAGGGGGGCTATAACTGACAGTAATTAATGAAAATCATTCAAAATCAATGATTCTTAGTCTGACAGTAATCATGAGAAAATCAATGGGATTCTTCATCTCGTTAACATAACTACTGTATAAAAAGTTCAAGTCAATCGAAAACTTCAGATCGATGGACAGGGGAGATGAAAAGATACGACCACATTTCATTTTGAGATGCAATGATTAATAGAACACAATATTAAAAAAACCCATCTCTTTATTATTCTATTTCTCACATTTCAACTGAGTCAGGGGTTTGGGTGGCCGAATGGTTAGCGTGTTGTATCACAAGGTCTAGAGGTCACTTGTCCAACCTCGTGGGTTTTCTCCGGGTCCTCCAGTTTCCTCCCACTGTTAAAGATCCCTTCACGCAAGCAAATTATTGAGATAAAAAATCGAACCATAGAAACGGCCTAGATTGTGTGAGAGGAGGTTAAACTCTCTCTCTCTCTCTTGTTATTCAAACTTACCCTCCGCTCCTTCATTTAACAGAGCTGCCTGTAAAAATGGTTCCTCCTCATCATCATCAAGTGTGGGTGTATATCTGTCGACACGGAAGGCAGGAGGTGACGATTCACTTTCTAGACTATCATCTAGATCCTCAGACATCTGTTTTATTTGAAACATTGGAAATCTGTATACCTACACATAAATCAACTTATAAAAAAGTAGGTCAATAGCTAGCTGTCTTATACTGAGTTAGTGAGTATCAGGGATGATCAATTAAATAGATCTGTATGCAGAATTGGAAAAATATCTGCAAAAATGCATTGCTGCTATCATGGACCTTATAAGATCCATGTTGCTATTGAACATGTACATTTGTGGTTCTAGAGAGCCATGGGTGCTTCAGTGGGTAAGGCACTGGCTCGCTAACCAGGATGTTCCGGGTTCAAACTCCATGACTGTTGGTCGACTCCTTCAGGATTTTTCTGCATATATCTTTACCTTCGACAGTGGTTTAGGACAAAGAGCAAGGAATTTAACAGTGTCTTTTGTCTAGTCATTTGGATGGGACACAAAAAAAAACTGATCATGGTCCTAGGAATTGACATATGGAATTCGATGAAAAGTAGGTGGAAGATGGGCTTCTGATATCCAAATATTAGTATTTAGCTCCTTTAATGATTAAGGTCCTTTAATTAAAGGGACAATAACACTCATGCTGGCTTGACAGCTTCAGTAAATAAATATTAGCCTTATTCTAAGTATTAGATGTTTAAGTGTCCTACCTGTTGTGTAAATTATCCATTACATCCTATTTTACTTTTACTTGTCCAGAGGGTTCGGAAATATTTTAAAATCCAAGTCACATTTGAAAAGGTTTACGTTAGGCTTTTCAAATCATTTAGTTGAATTTTTCCAATTTTTTAAATTAGATGTGTTAAGATGAAATTTGTATCATCAGTTAATTGGAATACTGTAAAATAGTACAATTTGTTGACCAGAATAAAGATCGGGACATATTATTCTATAACAACAAGAGTGGTATTGAGCCTTTAACACAGATACTGAGATTCAGATAGTGATAGATCAGCACAGCAGATGACCCCAGGACAGAGGACAGATGACCAGAGGACAGAGGACAGAGAATATTGAATTGTCAGTGGACTGTACCATTTTGTTCTGTTCACGTCAAGATAACTTAAACAAAATAAACTTACATTATGTTAAGATGATTTTCGCGACCTTTCTGTTTCGATTATAAAATACTTCCGTCGTAGAGCGTAGATAAGTCGACCCTAAGTCCAAATCAAATAGTCAGTCGAATAAACCGGTCGATGGCTTATTAAAATTTTGGAATCGTTTGTAATCAGTATAAGTTAAAGAAAAAACGCACTAATTCCAATATCTTTTATCATTGTTTTTGTTTATTTTTTACGTCCCCTCATGTTCAAATTTGATTGTTCAAATTAAAACTTTAAGGTGTTATTTTAGTTATTGCCACCGCGGCTTAATAAAGTCATGCTTTACTTTTTCCCTCATCCCCATATGCCCCCATCTTTTAAGTGCACGCCAATGTGTACACGGGACCTCGGTTTTTCGTCCCATCCGAACGACTAGACATCTGTCCTTGTCCACCTCCAAAAGAATAGAGTCCCTATATATGATATGTTGGGTTAGGGGGGCGTATGGGGGTGAGGTATTTGACATTATCATGTGGCCTCGTCCAGTCAATAAAATCAGTCAGTTAGTTCAGTCGATAACATCAGTCAGTTAGTTCATGCTCGTCCCATCCGAACGACTAGACAGCCGTCCTTGTCCGCCTCGAAAAGAATAGAGTCAATATAGATATGAACGTGGAAAGGGGATGCGATGGGGCGGGGGGGGGGCGTGTCGGTATGAGGTATTTGACATTTTCATATGGCCTCGTCCAGTCGATAAAATCAGTCAGTTAGTTCAGTCGAATAATCCAGTCGAATAAACCAGTCGAATAATTCAGTCGAAAAGTTCAGTCGAATACTTCAGTCGAATAGTTCAGTCGAATAAACAAGTCGCTCAATATTAAGCAGCGGTGGTAGCGGGCTAAGATAATTAGTAGCAAATCATGCTGGTAGCCATAGCTGAAGGAGCCAGGGGCATGGGGTAGGGACCGGGGGGCTTCCAAACTAGTTTCAAGAAATGAAAAGAAATGAAATGTGGTTTTAACGTCCTACTGTTCTGCTTGGAACTGGGCTAATGAAGACGGGCATACGCCATACACTGTGCTATGAGGTAAATTTTGCCTGGACAGCGGCACTACGGCCTACTCTTATATCGAATTCCATCTGTCAAAGGATCTTTTACGTCCAGGCGAATGTGTACACGGGACCTCGGTTTTTCGTCCCGTCCGAAAGACTAGACAGCTGTCCTTGTCCGCCTCGAAAAGAATAGAGTCCCTATATATGATATGAACGAAGAAAGGGGATGGGGTGGGGCGGGGGGATGAGGTATTTGACATTTTCATGTGGCCTCGTCCAGTCGATAAAATCAGTCAGTTAGTTCAGTCGAATAATTCAGTCGAATAAACCAGTCGAAAAGTTCAGTCGAATAATTCAGTCGAATAATCCAGTCGAATAATTCAGTCGAATAAACAAGTCGCTCAATATTAAGCAGCGGGCTAAGATAATATAGTAGCAAATCATGCTCGTGGCCATAGCTGAAGGCGCCGGGGGCATGTGGTAGGGACCGGGTGGCTTCCCAACTAGTTTCAAGAAATGAAAAGAAATGAAATGGGGTTTTAACGTCCTACTGTTCTGCTTGGAACTGGGCTAATGAAGACGGGCATACGCCATACACTGTGCTATGAGGGAAATTTTGCCCGGACAGCGGCACTACGGCCTACTCTTATATCGAATTCCATCTGCCAAAGGATCTTTTACGTCCACGCGAATGTGTACACGAGACCTCGGTTTTTCGTCCCATCCGAAAGACTAGACAGCTGTCCTTGTCCGCCTCGAAAAGAATAGAGTCCCTATATATGATATGAACGAAGAAAGGGGATGGGGTGGGGCGGGGGGGGGGATGAGGTATTTGACATTTTAATGTGGCCTCGTCCAGTCGATAAAATCAGTCAGTTAGTTCAGTCAAATAATCCAGTCGAATAAACCAGTCGAATAATTCAGTCGAAAAGTTCAGTCGAATACTTCAGTCGAATAATTCAGTCGAATAAACAAGTCGCTCAATATTAAGCAGCGGTGGCAGAGGGCTAAGATAATATAGTAACAAATCATGCTCGTAGACATAGCTGAAGGAGCCGGGGCATGGGGTAGGGGCCGGGGGGCTTCCCAACTAGTTTCAAGAAATGAAATGGGTTTTTAACGTCCTACTGTTCTTCTTGGAACTGGGCTAATGAAAACGGGCATACGCCATACACTGTGCGATGACGGAAATATTGCCCGGACAGCGGCACTACGGCATACTCTTATATCGAATTCCATCTGTCAAGGGATCTTTTACGTCCACGCCAATGTATACACGTGACCTCGGTTTTTCGTCCCATCCGAAAGACTAGACAGCTGTCTTTGTCCGCCTCGAAAAGAATAGAGTCCCTATATATAATATGAACGAGGAAAGGGGATGGGGTGGGACGGGGGGGGGGGGGGGGGTCGTGTCGGGATGTGGTATTTGACATTTTCATGTGGCCTCGACCAGTCGATAAAATCAGTCAGTTAGTTCAGTCGAATAATCCAGTCGAATAAACCAGTCGAATAATTCAGTCGAATACTTCAGTCGAATACTTCAGTCGAATAAACAAGTCGCTCAATATTAAGCAGCGGTGGCAGCGGGCTAAGATAATATAGTAGCAAATCATGCTCGTAGACATAGCTGAAAGAGCCGGGGCATGGATTTTATCAACTGGACGAGGCCACATGAAAATGTCAAATACCTCATCCCCCACCCCACCCCATCCCCTTTCTTCGTTCATATTATATATAGGGACTCTATTCTTTTCGAGGCAGACAAGGACAACTGTCTAGTCGTTCGGGTGGGACGAAAAACCGAGGTCCCGTGTACACAGTGGCGTGGACGTAAAAGATCCCTTAACAGATGGAATTCGATATAAGAGTAGGCCGTAGTGCCGCTGTCCGGGCAAAATTTCCCTCATCGCACAGTGTATGGCGTATGCCCGTCTTCATTAGCCCAGTTCCAAGCAGAACAGTAGGACGTTAAAACCCCATTTCATTTCTTTCCATTTCTTGAAACTAGTTGGGAAGCCCCCCGGTCCCTACCCCATGCCCCGGCTCCTTCAGCTATGTCTACGAGCATGATTTGCTAGTATATTATCTTAGCCCGCTGCCACCGCTGCTTGATATTGAGCGACTTGTTTATTCGACTGAATTATTCGACTGAACTGTTCGACTGAAGTATTCGACTGATCTTTTCGACTGAATTATTCGACTGGTTTATTCGACTGGATTATTCGACTGAACTAACTGACTGATTTTATCGACTGGACGAGGCCACGTGAAAATGTCAAATACCTCACCCCCCCCCCCCCCGCTCCACCCCATCCCCTTTCTTTGTTCATATCATATATAGGGACTCTATTCTTTTCGAGGCGGACAAGGACAGCTGTCTAGTCGTTCGGATGGGACGAAAAACCGAGGTCCTGTGTACACATTGGCGTGGACGTAAAAGATCCTTTGACAGATGGAATTCGATATAAGAGTAGGCCGTAGTGCCGCTGTCCGGGCAAAATTTACCTCATAGCACAGTGTATGGCGCATGCCCGTCTTCATTAGCCCAGTTCCAAGCAGAACAGTAGGACGTTAAAACCCCATTTCATTTCTTTTCATTTCTTGAAACTAGTTGGGAAGCCCCCCGGCCCCTACCCCATGCCCCGGCTCCTTCAGCTATGGCTACGAGCATGATTTGCTACTATATTATCTTAGCCCTCTGCCACCGCTGCTTAATATTGAGCGACTTGTTTTTTCGACTGAATTATTCGACTGGATTATTCGACTGAACTATTCAACTGAAGTATTCGACTGAAATTTTCGACTGAATTATTCGACTGGTTTATTCGACTGAACTAACTGACTGATTTTATCGACTGGACGAGGCCACATGAAATTTCAAATACTACATCTCGACACGCCCCCCCCCCCCCGCCGCCCCCCCCTCCCCTTTCTTCGTTCATATCATATAAAGGGACTCTATTCTTTTCGAGGCGGACAGGGACAGCTGTCTAGTCTTTCGTATGGGACGAAAAACCGAGGTCACTTGTATTACATTGGCGTGGACGTAAAAGATCCCTTGACAGATGGAATTCGATATAAGAGTATGCCGTAGTGCCCCGTAGTGCCCCGGCTCCTTCAGCTATGTCTACGAGCATGATTTGCTACTATATTATCTTAGCCCGCTGCCACCGCTGCTTAATATTGGGCGACTTGTTTATTCGACTGAATTTTTCGACTGAAGTATTCGACTGAACTTTTCGACTGAATTATTCGACTGGTTTATTCGACTGGATTATTCGACTGAACTAACTGACTGATTTTATCGACTGGACGAGGCCACATGAAAATGTCAAATACCTCACCTCCCCCCCACCCCATTTCATTTCTTGAAACTAGTTGGTAAGCCCCCCGGTCCCTACCCCATGCCCCGAGCATGTTTCTGTGGACTAAGATAATACAGTAGCAAATCATGCTCGTAGCCATAGCTGAAGGAGCCGGGGGCATGCGGTAGGGTTCGGGGAGCTTCCCTACTAGTTTCAAGTCTTATGTGATATTTCGCCCCCACCCCCACCTCGAAAAGAATAGAGTCCCCATATATATGACATGACCGTAGAAAAGGGGATGCGATGGGGGTTGGGTGGGGAGGCATGTGGGAATGAGGTAGCAAATCATGCTCGTAGCCATAACTGAAGGATCCGGGGGCATTGGGTAGGGTCCGGGGGGGCTTCCCAACTAGTTTCAAGTCTTAAGTGATACATATTCTAGTATTTTCGCCCCCACCCACACGCCCCCTCCCATTCCACCAACACCCCCTTTCTATGGTCATATATAGCGACTATTCTTTTCGAGGTGGGGGCCGACAATATTAGTATCTATTTAAGTACAATTATCTCCTGCGACGGGTGAGGACCAAACCCCATCCAAGCCCTCGGCTCCTACAGCTATGGCAACGAGCATTGGGCTACTCTATATTATCTTGGTTCACTGTTGGGCTGTTTTTCCGACTGGTTTCATCGATTGAAGTATTTGACTGATTTTATCGACTGAGATATGTGGGGGATTTTATCGTCTGGACGAGGCCACATTAAAATGTCAGATTTATGTAAGATGAATCATTACTTGGAGAGACCAGC